AACTGGTTAAAAAGAAGAAATTTTGAAAATTTAATTGAATAAAATATAAAAATTAATTTGTGTTGATTTTTCGTTAAAGCTAACTTTGAATAACCACAATCAGGTACACGATAAATTGAAATTATTTAGTTATGAAGGTTCTAGGTTTAGTTCTCTTCAACATCTCTAGACGAGTCATAATGTTTTTTGTTTTTAGAAACTTTATATATGTTTTTCATAAGTTAAAACTTTTAAATAAGAACAAACACTTCCAAAAAATTCAACCTCTGAAGATGGCAAAATGATATGACATACGCAGTAATAGAAGGATCGTCAGAAAGATCATATTTTACAAATTCATGTATTTATTAAAGTAAAAATAACGTTAAATATATATTATATTACAAATTCAAAAAATTACCAAACTGATAACATGACCAACTTTTCATTTATCACTGGACATCAACTTCAAAAATGAACGAACAAACGCAAGAACAAGGGAACACATCTAAACATTCCAAATTTGACGAAAATACAATATAAATAAATCAAAGACAGAAAAATATATGATATTTAAATTTTTATGAGCCAGAAATATCGAGAAAGGACGAGCTTTACAACGTACAGAATAAAGTGAGTCAAACTTTACAAATTATTTTACAAAACGATTTACAAAACAATTTTTTACTACACACATAAATCCTCAATTGTGATAATTTGTAATTTAAAATTTAACAAAAAACAGGAAGTGAGAATAATCATGTAACATCATCATTACGGGGTTAAGGAATCATTAAGCTTTTAAAAATGAAAACAGCTTTAACAAAACTTTTTGCCTCTAGAGGTGTGTGAATAAAGATGAATGAATAAAATGTCAAAAACAAAAATTCGTAATAAGTAAACTGTTAAATAAATTTTGTAGGAAGAAACGGTGTCTGAATTTTCATTTGTTCAGAACTCATAATATGAGAGGCTAGTGGATTATTTTGTAAGAAATAGCTCTTTAAATCATATTTATTTTTGGATTTTTTTATTGTTTATTCCTTTTAGAACAATATACATATTTGATTTTCTACTAGCCTTTATTTTTCATAAATTTGTGTCCTTTAATACTTTATACACTATTAATTTTTTCGTTTGTTCATATTTTTTCTTAAAAAAAACACATATCACACACCCACAAGAAAAGTGAAACAACTCAACAAAGGAAAATTTTACAGGAGAGACAAATGGAAGTTTACTTTTTTTTACTTATGTATTAAGTTACATTAAGTACATGCCATTACGATTGTTGGCAATAAAAACTGTCAAGATCCATCAATATTGTCTTTCGTTTCTCCGAGACTTAAGGGCAAACTCAAAACTTTAAAAATCCAGCTTTTTTTTATAACTTTCCTTTAAGGAAAGCTAACTTATGGTATAAGGTTAATCATATTAGCCAATGGTTATAATTATGGATAATTTTATTTAAGAAAAAGCGTTCTCTTATTTTTACGTCTGTTGTATTATGATTTTTTTGCGGTAAATGTATTTAATTAAGGGTTCAATTATATCAGATCTGTGGGAGTAACATAGGAGATTGGACACTGTGATGGGAAGAGGTATGCCGGCGATCTGTAAAATGCTTCTCTGCCTGAGGCGGTAAGAGGGCACTCAAGAAGGACGTGGTTGGCATTGGCCACTACGAAGTTGTTGCAGGAGCAGTAAGGGGAACTAAGGATTTTGATTTTATTAAAGTTGGACAGGTAGACTATTGTGGTTTAGTCGGAGACGGATTATGGAAATAAGGGATTGTCGGGGATAATTCATAGAACGGAACCACGAGAAGGGAGGGATGTGGGTTTGAATTGATTTGTAAACCTTGGAGGAACTTGTGGAGCTAAACTCTTTTTGCCAAGATCTCAAGGAGTGCCTATACAAATGAGATCTAATATCTCCAACCGAAATTAAAAACTGTAAAGGACCAGATATGGCTGCTTCTTTAGCCAGTCTATCGGTTTCATCGTTGTAAACATTGTCGTTATGTCCGTTTACCCAGATTATACGAATGTTAGTGTTGGTGGTTTTTAACTGACATATTAAATTGAAAATCTGTGTGAGGATGAAGTGATTGGCTTTAAGGATACTATGAAGGGAATGGACCACACTTTGGCTGTCAAAGAATATAATTAAGTCGGAAGGGTTCATAGTCTGAGCATACTTTAAGGCTTCCAAAATTGCTAACGCTTCGGCAGTAAAAATGGAGGCGACCCCACTCAGTTTAATTTGTACGGCGAAATTATTGCATGGATCAAAAAATGAAGCGCCCAATTATTGCCCTGCTTGGATCCGTCCGTATATTGGGTTAATGCCGCGTCAGATTGACCCCTCATGGCTGCCTGTTCTACATAAGGAGGGAAATGAGACCAATCAGGTATAGCTAAGGGATCCGGTATAGCGCAAGTATGGCTAAACAATAAAGGAAAAGTTTGAGTAAGGTACCTAGGATGATTGGCGGTTGGGAGGATGGAGAGGGTCAAAATCCAGCTTTACTACCCCTAATAAACTACCCCTTATTGAGTTGACACTTTTCTTGCATATATTGGCTCTCAGTAATTTAAGTTAGTTTGTTTGCTCTAACGATAATGGTGGTTAATTAATTTCTGTAAGGGTTAATTTTTTTATGATAATAGCAGACAATAAACAAACCTAACAAACGAGCATAAATATCTTTTTACTTAGGTTATTTTTTAGCCAAATGTGCTCTCCTCCTGGCGTCAGGACTAATTATTTATTTAACATACAATTATTGAAATAAAGGTTTTATTAATTACTAAAAATATTGTAATTAAAACAAAAAAAACTATTTTTAATGTTTAAAAGACATTGTTGTGTCGTCGAAGGTCGTAGGATCGAATCCCGCTTGTGACACTGACATTTTTATCTCAACCAATACCTTAATTAATTGAAAAGGAATTGTTATTAAAATAAAAGAAATGGCACTAAAACACTTCACCAACACCTCTACATCACGTATGATCTTGAAGAAAAAAGTAAATTCAGTTGTTCCTACTAAGCTTCTACTTATTTTAAGGTTATCATCAGGCCCTATATTAATTTCACAAAACGAAAAACATATTTGTACAATTGATTGAACTATTGTTTTTCATAATGTTACTCCAGTACAGCATAACATCCTTCGATAATCAAGAAAACTGGCGTAACTCGAAATGTGCCACTTTTCCTGATAAATACTCATACTGATGCTTGAAAGCTCGAAATAGAAGTAAGTGCCACTTTTTGTGAATGGTGACAGTATATTTGTATCATTTTTTCTGTAGCATCACACAACGGTATACTTAAAAAAACAACTAAATAATCCGGTTTTTTATAATTTTTAGACTTCTGTCACTTTTCTTGTAGGTGTGCGATATGAGATCTGTAATTTTACGTGTTATCTTTAAATAGTATTGTTATAATTGTGAGCGATTATAAATGGCAATCTAATCTATATGACTTCTGTTTTAAGGGCGTCATTTGCTCTTCCTGTTTAATTTGAACATGAATATTATTTTGGGTTGTAAACGTATATTTTTTTTGCGTGACCGTTTTTGCGTTACAGGAGAAGTGCAGGGTTCGGTTAGGCTGGGAATGATTACGTTACGGTAGGATTAGAGTTAGGGACGGATTAGGTTAAGTAGAGTTAAGGTTACATGTAATGCTAAATGTTTATATTAAAATGTTTCTATATTTTCTAGTGTATATTATTTGTTTTTATGTTTTTTTTACTGTACAGATTATTTGATCTTTGTGTTTTAGTCTTTTATTATTTTTTAATAGCATCATTTTTCTTTTTCATGTCCTCACCAACAATTTTTTCTAGTTTTAGGGCGGGCAAATTACAGTTATCGCCAGCCCTCTCTTTCTTATCTTTGCCTTATTTTTTTATCTTTTCGTTCTCGTGTTTTAAACTTACTAATTTGTTTTACTGTCTCTTCAGCCAAGTTTTGATGTTTTATGATATAACGGAAACCATCTCTATCTTTTCTTTAGCCCGCTAGCCTCTCTGTACCTCAGTGCTTCGACATTGATGGATAAAATAACACAAATATATAGAAACACAGAGACAAGATAAAAGCATGATAGTTTGGTTAACATTGTTAACTGTGGATAAGCCCCTTCAACCACACATGCATTGTGACTTAACCTAGACTACTTGATATTCCTCACGGTAATTGGGGATAAGCCCCATCACGCTAATAAAGTACATTCACACATTCTAGGCTAGGTAATTAATCGGTATTAACAAACCAACGAATAATTACATTATTCAAATGCTTATTAGTGTTAGGTAACCATAATTAAATTTGTATATTGCAATATATTATTTTGAAAAATTGTTTTATTTTTCTTGTTTTTATTTTACAAACTTTAACTCACCTATCAGACTTACGAGGAATTTGGTTTTATTATTGTGTGATATTTTTAAGAAATTAATAAGAGCTTATTATTTAGCACAAGATATAACATTTGTGCCTTAAGTGTGCCAAATGGACTGACGGTTAAATGAAACATTCAACTTGGGAAAATTTGTTGTATTTTCAACGAGGTTGAGAATTCAGCATTAAACATGGTAGGGTCAATAGTTTGAAACAAACAGCGAGATTAGACGGACGAGGACTTGATTAATCAACTTTTCATTATTCTATTAAACTTTTGCATTTTAAAATCGTTGACGTTTTGAAATTTTCCCTAATAAAGCTGATCAGAAAATTTTTATTTGAGACTGAATTAAAAGTCCTGAGCAGCCAAAGGGATAAAAAAATTCTAGCAATGAAAGGGAATTAACAAGTGGATAATTTAGAAGAAAAAACTGTTATTGTCGAACAATCGGTTAAAGCCGAAATCTCCTTCCCATTTCAACGTTGTCCAAAATAAGAATGGCTATCTATGTTTTTTAATGTATTCCCAAAAAATGCAAGTTTGATAAACGATAATCACAGTGTAACTTGACTGAAAAAATAAAAAATATTGTTTGCATCTTATCATACCCAGACATCATAGGCCATTGTTCGTCTTGACCCGGGAACGGTGTTTTTCAACAATCAGAAGGGTAGAAGGCTCAGCATGGATTAGGGGAAAAAGCCAAGGACAGACGGAGGAGGGAAAAGAATATAAGAAGAAGAAAGGCAGGATCAAGCACAAACACACAAGGATACCTACAACAACCATGAAGTCATTCGTAAGTCCAGTCATTTCTCTACTAACGCACTTTTTCACTAGTCAACAATTATAATATGCATTTTTGAAAATTTATTTTTAAAAAAGTTGTTACACCTATATATATATTGTATTAAGTTGTTAACTTCATTTCCTTTATAGATGTCATCGAAAATTATTTCTTAGTTTTGCGAAGCTTGAAAACAAACAAAAATACACAGTCTACACCTTCAAATTTAATACAGAACAATTTTAATTTTTTTAAATTATTTTTCACCCAATTGGTTTGTATCATAATTTAACATATTCGAAAATTAAAAATAGTGTAATTTTTTGTGAGTTTTAAAATGGAAAGAAATTTATTATACAAAATATTAATATTACTTTGTTTCATGCTTCTTAATACCATATTGATTTTGATCGAGCAATCAAACACAAACTCTGGAAGTGATTTTTTTATCACTTTATTTTAATTTGTTTATTTGCCTTTTTTAATAAATACAATAAATAATACCGAGAGGGAGAAACAGAGAAAAATAGTAATAATTTTGTAATAATGACAGTTGATAAACAAATATAATAATTATCGGTGTTTTAATTTTTTATATTTCTGAATGTGCATTTATTAAGAGAGTGTGTGTGTGTGTGTGTGTGTGTGTGTGTGTGTGTGTGTGTGTGTGTGTGTGTGAGAGAGAGAGAGAGAGAGAGAGAGAGAGAGAGAGAGAGAGAGAGAGTCAGAGAGAAACAGAGATAGATAGATAACTTATTGTATTGAGAGTTAATTAACATTAAAAATGAAATGTATATAAGTGTTTTAATTGTTTATGTATTTGAATATGTGCATTTTTAAGAAGGTGGAAGGGTAGAGAGAGAGAGAGAGAGAGAGAGAGAGAGAGAGAGAGAGAGGGAGAGAGTGAGAGAGAGAGGGAGAGAGTGAGTGAGAGCAAGGAGAGAGGTAACTTCTTATAGAATTGGTGACAAATGATTATTTTAAAAAATAAAAATATATATATCTTTTACTTGTTTATTATTATAATGTTTTGAATATCAGTAAGCTCGAATCACAACACATTTATGGTAAAAAATAACAACAAAGATATTTTAATAATGTATCACTTCATACTTTTATGCTGGTGTTGATGTGGTACGAGGCCAGATGCAGACGTCATCCCTTCTACCTCTTTGTGAAGAATCTCGCCTATGGGAGGGTGATGAAGGCTTTATCCTTTCAAGTCAAGTCCGTCGGACTTTTGCAATTGTGGTCAGCCCGCTTTTAGAAGGACGCGAGGTGAAAATAGATGAGCTTTGAAATGTTAAGTTTATGAACTTTAACCCGCCGAATCATTGGTGTCAACATTATTTCTTCTCACTGCCGGTACAAGTGCAAAGGTCATAAAATTTATCGTTCTCTTTCATATAAAACACTAATATTAATAATATAATTGGTTGTAAACATTCTTTGGAAATGCCGAATTTAGCAGTTATTATTTCACTATTCAAACTAAAAGATAAATAAAATGAGTTACACGAGTAAACACACATACTATTTTTAGAGGGTCGATGGCGGAATGTCGAGACCCCCATCGTCCCGCAAATAGGTTAGTTGTATTATATGTGTAAAGGGTGATGGATGAATTCCGCCACACTAATTGAATGAGTGGTATATAAATAAGAGTAAATGTATTCAAGAATGGACGTGAGTACGAATGGGTTTGGTTGGTTGGCATTCGCTGGGTGCTGAATTGACATAGCTGTTGACAGCACCTCACCCCCGGAGAGGTGTATATCTCAGTGGGTGGACGGATAAGACTGAGGTCTGTCCCCGGACTGCCAACACCCGAGGTGAGGTGAATCTCAAGTCTGCCGGCGATTTACTGTTAATAGCAAAAGCTGGAATTGCCGGTGGACTACGAGAAGCGAATAGGCTGAACTGGGCACAGTAGGTACATGTGCGGATTTGAGCCATATAATTTAAGCATTACTTTTCCTTATTTAAATTAACTTAAAAAGAAAAGAGAATAGTAAAAATTCTTTCATCTCTTGGGTAGAATTTAAAAGAAGATTTTTTTAAATTATCATTCCAGGTGTTCGTAGTAGCAGTGCTAGTAGCCATGATCGCCCTAGGCGAAGCAGGCTATTTCGGAGGATACGGCGGCGGCTACGGAGGAAGTGGCTACGGAGGAAGCGGCTGGTCTAGAGGATACAGTGGAGGAGGCTACTCCGGCGGTGGTTGGAGCGGCCGCAGCGGAGGCGGCTACGGAGGATGGAGGAGGGGCGGATACGGAGGTGGATACGGCGGCGGCAGTAGAGTCGTCGTAGTCAGGCCGAGCTACTCCAGCGGATGGTCCGGCGGTTACGGAGGTGGTAGGGGATGGTCTTCAGGAGGATACGGCGGCAGCGGATGGTGGTAAGCCGGATTCAGAAAAAAAGATAAAAGACATACCTGGGCTAATCTAATTAATGTAAATAACCATCAAAAAATATTTTACTTTTATACATTCAAAATTATAAACTTTTTTAAATGTGTTAGTCTTTATTTACCCAGCCATATTTTTGACTCTAGATATTTTTAAACTAGCAGTTCAATTATAGCAATTAGCAAGTTTTTCTTCGATCTTTGAGATAAGTTATCCAGTTTAGTCTAGTAGTCGTTTTCTTTCAGACCTTCAGGCGTTGACTCGCGGTGGCGGTCTATTTGCGGCAGCTTGCCCCATGAAAGTACTTCAACTTAAAATGTAGCTTCTCATAGGTCATTTTTGATCAGGATGGTAAAATTTTGAGGTCTGAATGACGTATGTTGCAACAAACCAGGGCGCGCAGAATATCTTATTAAGATTATTATATTAAGAACTAGCAGATTGTGATGCTTATAACCATAAAAAAATATTTATCCATAGAAGTATTGCCAAATGGGGCAAAGTATTTGCTCACGTACACAAAGAAAAGAAGTGGGCAAAACACGCTGCCTTGCGGTACTACAGAGAAAATAGAATATTGTTCGGACAGTGAGTTTCGATATTTTACTTTTAGCCTGGGACTCATGAGGGTAGTTAATGATGAGTCTGAAGTATGTGTACGGGAGATGTACTGAAAGTCTTTTCTGTGTAGACAAAAATTGGAATACACCCTTTTCCTCTTGGTGTTTAGGAGGCATTGACTTAAACGCCTACAAGAAAAAATGTGAATGACTAAATTTGTTTCAATTTATATATGAATTAGATAGAAAATAACTTATTATGACATATGATATTTATGTACAATTTCTATTTTGTTATGTTAAAGAAAATTTAATTACAAAGAAAAGATCAGGGATAATTCAGTTCCTTCGTCTAGAGGTCATTACACAAAGGAACTAAGTGTTTTTCATTCTTTCAAATTTGCGTTATCCCTGATCTATTCTATATAATTACAATTTTATATGGGTATCAACCATATCAAGATAAAGAGGATTTAGGCATATATTATTTGAATTGAAAACCAACAGTACCACAAGTTTATAAAGGTAGTAAAATTATTTTCATTCGTAAACATATAACTTACACTAATACTTGTTATGCGATCAACCAGCCTTTAATACGATGTTGATTGGGATTCGGGTTGTGGTCTTCAAACATACAATGTTTTTATATCAACGCCCAAGCTTTCGACAAGTTTTATTGCCTTCTTCAGGGGATCTACAGAGACATAGGGACATAATCATTTAAATAGTTATAAATTATTTTGTCAGTTTGTTGTTACTTACAGAACAAAGTCATAACTTAAACACATTACACATTTCACGATATGTATATATACAAACTATATACATATATAATAAATAAATAAAAACCGCTTCTTAATAGCCTCTTACATATATATGCATTTTTTTAAAACAGTAACCATTACTTAACAATTAGTATTCTTTAGGTACATATATATTAACATATTTTTTAACCTCATTGATAGGGCTCTGAAATTGAGCGATGATCGGTTCCACAGTGAGAACAGCAAAAAAGTGCGCTCTATGTTAATAGATAATGGTTACCCAAATCATTAATAAATAGATTACTGGAAAACAGGACAAGAGCAACAAGGAATGAGAATATACCTGTCGAGCAAAAACTTTATCAACCAGTTACATATGTAGCTGGAACATCAAGTAAGTTTTAAAAAAACTCATTAAATTCACTAATTTCGTGATCCGCTTGACCATTAATACTTTACAATTAATTAAGGTTTTTAGTTGAGATGAAAAAAAGCTAACGGCACGAGAGGGATTCGAACCCACGACCTTCGGCTAGATACGCCGCTGCTCTACCACCTGAGCTATCGTGACCTCGATCCACTCGGACATCAACTCCCCATCTCAACCCCACCTTATGAGTTTTCCCTCCTTTTGCCATTTTTCAAATGTCGTGTAATCGGTTTGGATTCTCGACGAAGAGCTTTAGTGAAGTGTACTTCATTTTTAAATCATTAATTCACNATTAGCTTTTTTTCATTTCAACTAAAAACCTTAATTAATTTAAAAAAACTGTTGAAAGAAAAAATAGATAATGTAAAAATTGTTCTTATGATTCTTCCTTCTTGAAGGTGGGATAATAGGTCATCTCAAAGACCTTTTCAAAATATAAGAAAACATCGTAAAAATTGTTTACAAATTTAATAATAAAGTGGGTAAGAATTTTTACACAAAACTTAAAAGTAAAGTACCTCTATTACAAAAATCTAATGTAGTGTATCGCATCAAATGTGCACAATGCCCCACTGTATTACGGCCAAACAAAACAATATTTATCGGAACGTGTGCGGCAACATAAATATGATTGCAGTGATGAAGAAAGGCCGGGAACAGCACTATCCAAACATACATACTAATATGCTACTAAACATAATTTTGACTTCGATGGAGTCAAAATTGTGGCTTCAGAACAAAAACAGGTCGTAGACTTTTGAGAGAAATGATATTTATTCATCAGGATTTACATGGCATGTAATTTAAAAACAGATTTGAATAATTGGAGTGTGATATACAGTGGGATTCTAGAAAAAGACAAGGTCTCTCCGCAAAGATCGTAACAATACTTGCATACATATTTATTTATTCATTTATTTATTTATTATAACGCTGTGATAACATAGAATTATCAATGTACTAGAAATTAAGATCTTGTTGTAAAAATTGTAGAAAATGATTGTTATCAGTAGGTGATAGTGTGGGGAACCTCCCACCTGATAATGTGATAAACACAATTTTCTAGTCAAACGCCTGTGATATTTACGTACCTAAAGAATATTAATTGTTAAGTAATTGTTACTGTTTAAAAAAATGCATATATATGTAAGAGGCTATTAAGAAGAGGTTTTTATTTATTTATGTATTATATATGTATATAGTTTGTATATATACATATCGTGAAATGTGTAATGTGTTTAAGTTATGACTTTGTATCTGTAAGTACAATTATTGTAATTTACAGTAATTTATAAATATTTAAATGATTATGTCCCTATGTCTCTGTAGATCCCCTGAAGAAGGCAAAAAAAATTGTCGAAAGCTTGGGCGTTGATAAAAAAACATTGTATGTTTGAAGACCACAACCCGAATCCCAATCAACATCATATAACTTACAATTTAACCAGTATAAATTGTTTTAAAAAATACAGAAACGAGAAATTGAACCTTTCTCTTATTGACAAGCAGCTCAAAAAACACGTACACTATAAAAAATATGTATTCTCTCCATTTATCCCGTTTTAGATAATCCTCAGAATAGTAAATTTGGCGATTTATGAGGAAAAACACAGGTTATGGACAAATAAGCCATGCCTTCAGGTCATAAAAAAACATTTCGACGGATAAATAGATTTGTTACATCACATATATATACATGGAAAAATATATGACGTTTTAACGCAAAGACTCGGCGCAAGTAATAAATTGCCGTTAAAAGCAATAAATTGTTTTTTTACGTTAAAAGTTATTGAATACATAATATTTTGTTCCTAAGAATGATTGTAGTACTAAAAAAAGCAAATTTTCTAAAGTTGACAATTTGAAAGAAGTTGCAACATCATGACAACAAATACAAGTTTATTCCTGCGGGAGCAATTTATAAAAAATCAATATGACAAATACATAAATAATAAATGGCATAATAAATAATTTCTCGCTTTGTAAGCACGGCATTTATAAACGTTAAAGAAAAATGATCGCTTAACCATTTTTAAATTACAACTCATTAATTCAACATCACGTCGAGTTACTATAAGAGCCATTAGGCCCCAAGGAGATTGAAAGCTAGAAAGGTATTGCTCGCGATTTAAATCTATTAGCGGTTAAAAATGTATCAATAAAGATTCAAGGAGTGTTCGGAGGGTTTATAGTTGAACTTTGGTGAGCGGTAAAATGCATCAAGTTAATATATAATTAGCATTGGAATATTAGTTTAAATGTTGGCTATCAAACAAGCTTTTAGAAAAGTGCTACGACAAAACTGTGCAGACTTCTTCTAAAGATTACATTAATTGAGTTTATTTCAACAAATGTTCCATTAAATTTATTAGGTACATGTATACCTAAATATTATAAACAATTAAAAATCCAGGGAAAACGATATTTTTCTAGCACATTTTTTATTATATTTGTTCGTAATTTACAGCTACGAATATTAAGTAAATATTTTCGATTTATGCTTATTGTATCATTTAAGTCACTTTAGGAGTGCCCTGGACAATACTCCTTAACACTAAAACCTCGTCATTTGTGAAGATCTGGGCCACATTTACTTCAATCGTCATAGAGGATTTGGAATAGTTGGAAGTTATAATTGCCTTATTATTGTGGATGCTCAGTGATTGATAATTTTTTTAGCTGGTTATGATGAGGTCATGTACAAACGGGATGTGAGATCTTTTTGAATAGTATGATTTGAAAGATAAAAGTAACAGTTATAATTTGACGGAGAATTTTATTCTGAATTGATTGAAGACGTTTGGACTTAGAATTCTTAATAGGTTACGATAGCTCAGGTGGTAGAGCAGCGGCGTATCTAGCCGAAGGTCGTGGGTTCGAATCCCTCTTGTGCCATTAACTTTTTTTCATCTCAACTAAAAACTTTAATTAATTGTAAAGTATTAATTGGTCAAGCGGACCACGAAATTAGTGAATTGATTGGAAGGAAATTCTTAATAGAGTTCCTCACTTTATAACGGTACGCCCAGAGTGGTCGTTTTGTAAATTAAAAGATTTTTAAAAATTAAATTAATTCATTCATGTGTGGTTGTAAGAGATGAGGGTTTATGGAAAGGATTCGAATTACGTGTAAAAGCATATGTGTGTAATTGTTAATATGTTTAAAATTATCTGCAATGTATATTGAAAATAGAAATGGGCCAGAGATCTGTCCCTGAGTCTCTAAAGAACACCCTTCCTTGTGCGTACATAAGATAAAAATTCAGTTCCCTGATGTAAAGTGTATGTACTGTTTTGTGGTTTTTGAACGCTATTTTAATTTTGCCTGAGATGAGCAACGTACTTAATTTGTGTGACAACGTGTGGACTCTGGAATGTGTATGTTTGTCTTTCTGGGATTGGGTTGATGATGTGTCTTGCACTGCGGAGGATGTTGTTTTGTGTAGTGTTGTTTTAATTGTTGTTGATTCCTTTAATTATGTTTCTAGGGCAGTTGTTGTTATGTAGGATTTGTTTGTATGTTTGAATTTTTTTTGGTGAAAGGATTCATGATTTAGGGATATGATTCTGTATAATCCTATTTTTGTGTTTTTTGTTATTTTCCACGAGTACAATATTGTTAAAATTTCTACATTTATACTAGGGATCAAATAGATCAATGGGATGTAATAGTGCCCCACCACTTACCCTGAAACTTAAAAGAATGTGTTCTATGTAAATTTATTACAAACAAATCAAATCAATCAATCAAATCAAAAACTATAACCATTTTTATTATCGTGTGTAGGTGATGGTGTGATATATAATGGAGGTAGCGATGTGTGTTCACAGGTTTTTGGTCCAAGTCTGTAGTTAGTAAGCCATCTGTTTATCTTATTTCAAGTGTGTCTACGAACTGTATTTTGTTACCTTTTTCCACCTCATGTGTGAATTGTAAGCGAGGAGAAAGTTGTTAAATATATATAATTGGATCTGCTGCTTATATTGGATCTGAAGGTACTGCTGTTAGAATATCATCAATGTATTTGGTGAGAAAGGTAGTTGTGTATTAACAATTAATTAAGGTTTTTAGTTGAGATAAAAAAAGGCAATGGCACGAGCGGGATTCGAACCTACGATCTTCGGCTTGATACGCCGCTGCTATACCACTTCAAATGGCCACGGAGAGCTTTAGTGAAGTATACTTCATTTTAAACATACTAAATTCACTAATTTCGTGGTCCGCTTGACCAATTAATATATTACAATTAATTAAGGTTTTTAGTTGAGATAAAAAAAGTCAATGGCACGAGCGGGATTCGAACCCACGTTCTTCGGCTCTACCAGTTGAGCTATCGTGACCTCGATCCACTCGGACACCAACTTCCCATCTCAACCGCACCTTTTGAATTTTCCCTCCTTTTTGCCATTTTTCAAATGTCGAGAATCCAACCCGATTACACGACATTTGAAAAATGGCAAAAAGGAGGGAAAATTCAATAGGTGGGGTTGAGATGGAGAGCTGGTGTCCTAGTGGATCGAGGTCACACTAGCTCAAGTGGTAGAGCAGCGCCGTATCGAGCCGAAGATCGTGGGTTCGAATCCCGCTCGTGCCATTGACTTTTTTTATCTCAACTAAAAACCTTAATTAATTGCAATATATTAATTGGTCAAGCGGACCACGAAATTAGTGAATTTGTGTATTAACAGTTTTCAGGCTATGCCGAAGAGTTGTTTGTAGAAAACGTTTTCCTACCTACACTTTCTTTTGGAGATTCATCAAATCCACTTTTCATTTGTATGTATGAGCGTATCTTTCGTCTGTATTGTATGTACTGTACAGTAGCTGTAATTAATAGCCTACCTTGCACAATATGAAGCTTCTTGGAAAAACGTCATGACGTCTTCACGGATTGTCAACGGTTTGTTCTGTTAAAATGTAGCTATATGAAAAATACGTTGAAGTACGTTTCTGTTTTTCAATAGAGCACAAATCGTTCACACTTTCCCTCATTATGACTCCATATATAATATATCATATGTGATATCTATTGTGTTCTTAGCGCCTCGCAAAATTGTACACTTTTACTTCTGTTCCACTTTTAATTTCTGTTGTGAGATATTTTCAAACCTGAAAGATTAATTTTCGAACAATCGTTTCTTTTTTTCTTTAGATTAGTTATTTATGGAATGAAATGTTTCTTCCAGGAATGTCTCGGCGACCCTGTGTCATAAGTTCAGGTGGACAAAGTTTGAATATGTCAAAGGTACAGGCTAATGAAGATAAATTGCGCATTTGGAGGACTTGCTATAACTATATTTCAGCGTCTTAATTAAACAAAGACGCGGATGGAATACACGGAAGTCGTACAATTAGCGGGATTCATTTCCAACTGGCTGAAAAATCATGCTTTTCCCATGTTGTTTCAGTCCTTAAACCGTCATCAGCGTCCAATTTTCCACGGCGCGACTGACAGAGTGATTAGTTGGGACTTGAGACAAAAACAATTGTAAGAATTGGGGGAAACTACAAGGACGGTGGATCCAGTGAAATACTATAAAATGGAATGGCACTATGAAAGGAAATCAGTTGATACGGTGCGGTGAAAATATGAAAGCCTACGTAAGTACTTCGCCCCTTCACTGCTTCAACAATAGCACTTTGTAAAACACCGTTTTTTTCTTTATGTTAGAAAAGATCCTTCACTATAAAATTTACCATAAATTATGTTTATTATAGTTATGTTTGGGCTTAAAAATACGATTTTAATATAGAAACTGAGTGGGTGTTTTTGTTTGTTTTCTCTCTTACGTGTGTGTTACTTTTTTACCAAATAAAAAATAATGATACATATATGTTTGTAGAATAATAAATTCCTTCAGGGTATTTCAAATTTTCAATAAATAGTTAGCCAAATGGGAGACAACCTGCCGTCGTCTCAGAATCCTAATTCTCATGTAGTTTGCTCAATTTTGCCACGCTTCTTGACTTTCACCAAATTCTGTTTTTGGTTTTTCTTGTGGTAGCCAATTTTTGAATTTTATGGGTTTACAGTGGAATATGACATGATCATGTCTTTGTTCTTGTCATACCTTCCGCCAAGTGCATCGTTGACATGCGGAATCTGTTCAAGTACTTCCTGATGTTTCAAGGGTTCTGCCATTTCTAACTTACCCTTCGACTGACTACCTAAACTCTCGTTCTATGCATGGTTCTTTAGGGTAGTGTAATTTAGTCTGACATAGGGTGGCTCCATGTACCAAGCGGAGAAACTACTGTTGGTTCCTTCAATGCACATATTTGTCCAAAGTTTTGAATTTTTGGGTTTCTTACTGCGCGTAGATTATGAAATGTTGATAATTCATAAATGTTTCATATCTCGGATCTTGCCCTTCCCTCCCCAAACGGAAGTCGTTCACACGCAAGTTTGATCGGAATTTTCATGGCTAATCAGAAACTTAGTGATCCAAAAGTTTGTTTTTATCTAAAAATATGGCATTTGCACATGTACTTTGAAAAGAACTCACAAGTAAGTGTTTAGCCATTTTTGCCATTTCCAATTAGCTTCGATTGGACGGTTTCCTTGATAGATTTTCAATCATATCCTCAGGTGGGTCTTTGGATTATATTTCAAAACTTAATTATTTCGTAAATTACTGTTCGGTTTGACCAGATCTAACTCTCGTTCTATTCATGAATCTTTAGTTTAGTGGAATTTAGTCTGTCCTAGGCTGGCGTCACTCTACATACCGGAAGCTTTGAAAGTGCCGATGATTCGAGGTTGTGTGAGTGATATGAATATGTATATGTTCAAGTAAAACCATAATTCCTTTGGGTATGCTTAATATTCGGTTCAAGATTCTTCCAGCTATTTGCTAACTTTTGATTCCTAGTTACAATAAAAGGCAAGGGGTAGTAATGTTTATGCTATGATTATGTTTTTAGCTAAAATTAACAAACGAATTGTATCCTTTGTGGTTTAAAGACTAAAATTATGCTCTAACTTCAATTATTAGTTCGCATTTAAAAAATTTTAAATTTAGATTGCAGGAGTTTTCCTTCTTGTCCTCGTGGCACTGTGTGGAGCCGGCAATATCGGCTACAGTAGCTTCGGCGGATTGGGTGGATATGGCGGATACGGAGGAGGCTACGGAGGGTACGGCGGATTCGGCAACGGAGGCTGGAGAGGATCTGGAGCTGGAGCTGGATCAGGATACGGCTGGAGAGGAGGCTACAGCGGATACGGAAGACCAAGCTACTCAGGATGGTCCGTCTACAATGGACGCGGCTACGGTGGATGGTAGTGACTTTAACTCACGATGACAAACAATAAAAAAATTAACACATCCAGGATAATTAATTGATATAAAATACATGAAATTGTTTGTAAAAAAATATATTTTTTTAATATAAAAAATAGCTTTTCCTTTTAAATAAAGAGTCAGCTTTATTAATATTTATTGGATACATTTTAAATTTGAGTTTCCATGCGTTTCCCCACACACATCTTTCTGTAAGTTTAATGAAATTAGCAAATCTTTATTTAAAAAAAAGGTCTGACTGTAACAAAAAGATTTCTGCATACCGAATCGGTTGTTTTAATCAAACAGAGCACTAGTTTAAATGGAAAATCATAATTTTTTTTCAATTATTATTAAATTAAATCATAAAACAATGGACATTTATGTCATTTAAATGCATTTTAATATCCTATTTATTTTGTATTTAGATAGTACACTTTAATAATTGATTTACAGTGCACTATCACTTTTAATAAATATAATTGGAAGTTTGGTAACTTAAAAGATATGCACCTGGCAGACAAAAGCGAGAATAGAGATGATGAAACTACATCATGGCTCAACCTTTTGCACGACGTCTTCAATAAAAAAATAAAACTATTTTACAAAAATAAAAACTATAGTGCCATGAAATTGGTTAATTTTGTAAATTTAAAACCAAATACATTCATGAGGTTCGCAGGAACTTCCTTGAACAAATGATCGTAAAAAAATTGTTGGGCAAAAACATTTTTTAATACACGTATGAAAATTTTACAACACATTGCATCTTAAACACTCATGAATTCTTCGAATTATATGAAATATTAAATGTAAAATAAAATGCCGCACATAAAAGTATGAGAAATGGGACAAAATAGCAGGCATAAAATGCAGAACAGTGTAGGCGCAGAAAGTCCTTTTTCCATCCTGCAACACTCCAGAAATCTTTAGGAGAAAGATACTCTGATATGATAGTGTATTCCTTCGTATAATTTCAACAAGTGTGTTTGAAAACTTAACTTCAATTTGGTATAATAAATCCTAAAAGAGCGAGACAGAGAGAGAGAGAGAGAGAGAGAGAGAGAGTGAGAGAGAAAGAAAGAAAGAGCAGCGATAGACATGTTCTCTCGTGACTGAGTTCTCTCGTGGTTTGGGGGGTGAGGAACCCCTTGTCTGACTTAATATTTAACTTGCAGATTTATGGCGTTATTTGGCCTTTCTTATAACGGAATAAGAGAGTAAAAGAGAGAGCGCGGAAAAGCGAGAGCCATGCATCTCTATGCAGCTGGGCAGAGTGATGGATATGATTCTTCATAATTTTAATGTAAAAAACATGCTGGGAATGGTACTTATTGATGTGGAGAAAGTTTTGACTGTTTTTGGCGCAGAGGGATCATATTTAAACTCGTCATATCAATTTCGCAACTACCTAACACAATTAATTAGTAATTACCTAACCAACAGGAAGTTCTTTGTACGAAATGACGGCATAAGGTCAACTTTAAAAAATCTAAGAGCTGGGGTCTCTCAAGGTTCTGTTCGTGAACCAACCTTATTTAAAATCTTTACAAACGATCTTTGCAAGCTAAAAACTATAGCTGAATTGGCTCTTTTGTTGCCCCGTATCGAGTTGATTCTATGCTTAGAGAATTATAAACTATAGCTAGGTGTTTTAAATATTTTGAAAAATGGACAAAAATGGAATAAAGGTAGCAAGACGGAAGTAATACTGTTTACTCGGCACAGACCACACATTTCAATCGTCATAATAAATAACTCGTCAATATTGTGGGCTAAGAAGTCAAATACCTTTGAATATATCTGGATTCATGACTTAATTTTAGTTACGATATTGAAAAAATGCTCAAAATCATGGACCATCTTAAAGTGTCTTTACCCGGTCTTTAAAAAGCGTTCATATGGAGGGTAAAAATATAAACCTTATTTATGAACTATACAAACCTCCGATAATAACTTACTTATTTGAGGAAATATGTCTAAATCCAATTTTGCTAAACTCCAGCAGCAAAAGACTGCTGTAAGAATTATTGGAAAGTTTCCATGTTGTATTCCAATGGACTACATGAATGTAACCGTAAGCATACTTAGTTGAACAACCCACATCTATATATCAATTTTAAATTTTTTTTAAATTTTTCCATACATAAACATATTGTTTCAAACTACCACAACACGACACCTGTGAAATGGGAAGGAAAATGGAATTTTCGTGATGAGGTAAACAAGTGGTTATCGACAGCAGGTTGACGTAAGAATTGTCGCTTCCCTGTTCAATTTTTTTTAAATTTCTCGGAACAAAGGTTGTAGAGCCTAAAATTTGCGAAATCATGAAGGTTCAAAATGTATGAAGTCTTGAAAATCGGAAGAGGGAGTGATCAGTTTTTCTCTATGTAAAAACCACGTTTTTGCCTAAAAATCGCGAAAAACTCTACAAAGGTTGAGAAACCGGACTAAGTGGAAGGGGACCAATTGAAAGCTTATTACAATTTCATATCGATTGCTATAGGGCACCGCTCCAGGACGATTTCCTTGCTCCACAGCTCAATTTGAAGTTTTGGTAACAGTGAAAAAATTAATGTTCCCGAATTTTTGAATTGAATGATTGAAGCTAAAAAACATCTAAAAACTCCATCTTATTCGGCGTATTTTTTTTTAATGAGATCTAGCGTAGGTCTGTGAGACTTAAAGGCTGAGAAAATAGGCATTTACAAAGTTGGTCATTTTTTTCGTGCAAAAACCAGGTGGTCGGGTTTTACTGATGGGCAGTGAATATAAATTCTGTTAAATGTACTTTAGTATTTATTTATTATTCGAGTTAGTTAAAATAGCAGTGAAGAAGGAGGTTTATGTTATTTAATATGTGAAAACTTTTTTAAATTTTGACTACGTACCTACCCTGAAGAAGGCGAAATAGAAAAGATAAATGGTGGAGTGAGCGTGTTGTTCAATCTTTATAAAAAGATAGTTTCTACTCAAAGTAAGTTGTTTTCAACCCTAGTCTTATAATTCATGTCGAGAGACCTGGTTTTAGAGCTCCTTCAATCTGTTGATGAGCTGTAGGCTCGAAATCCGAAAATAATTGTAAATTAGTGATTTTTTAAAATATATATATATATTTAATTTTTTCGTTCTATATTTTTANATTTTTATTTTTATTTATTTATTTTTATTAATTAATAAAAGATAAAAATTAAAATGATACCTTAATAATAGATTAGTAAATTAATGATAATATTAATAAATATTTAATTAATTAATTTGATTATTTTGTACGTCTAATATTATTTATGTACATATTTAAAATAGGAGATAGATCAAAATCCACCATATTATTAATGCAACTATCTCCATTTTCAATTTTACATTTTTTTAATTTCAAATTTCTAAAACCAATCTAGTTCCCTCCCTTTGTTGAAACAATGTAACACTATTGTAATTAAATTTAAATTGAATTGTGTTTTGTTTCTTTTAGAAGGTCCTTAAATTCCGAAAATTTGTTTGATTTAGCAAATGTTCTTGAATTGTAGTTTTTTATTTATCTACCGCTTTGTCCTATATATTTAATGTCGCAATCATTATATGTATATATCATTAAGTTGGTAAACTCGGCTTTTTGTCAAGTTGTCTACTTATCTTTAGGTTTTGAGAGGATGTTTTTAAGTGAACTCGTACTTCTAAAAACTATTTTAAAACCTTCTTGTTTTAGAAGTTTACCTACTTTTTCTGATAATTCACCAATATATGGCAAACAACGGAAACCTAATGATTCATTTATGGTGGGGTGGTTGAGTCCTATTGTTGCTTCTTTCATAGTTAACTTTTTTATTCTTTTATCTAGCAACCTATCAATAAATATATCTTGATATTCATCAGTTTTTGCTAAAATTTTAATAGTTTCTATTTCTTTTTATAGTTAGCGGGTGTTAATGGGAGTTTTAACAAACGAAATATATCGGAGAAACCTAGGCGTTGGGACAATATACTATTTGTTTTTCTAACCACAACCCTAATCCATGAGTCTATTATTCGGTAAAGGCTGGTCGATGGCATAGAAGAAATAATTAGTACCTTTATTGTCTTTTGTAATGCCTGGGTTTTTAAATATATTTTCCCCTAAACTATTTTATTTTTAATGTACATTTTAAGATAAAATGTTTCTTATATTTAATGCAGACTAGGTGAAAAAGGTGAAATAATGCCCAGGAGCCTACGAGTACATGTATGACTTTGAAGAAGAAATAAGAGAGAAGAAAAACAGATTTTTAAAATATATAATTAATATTTATTTAGAAATCGTGAGATGCGGTCTGGTGTGATGTAGGTTTCAGAAAAACATTTTCTTTATCGTGCCAACGTTTCGATCTTTATGGAGATCATCTTCAGGGCCTGGGATTTACAAACATTGTTTACATATAACAATTACATTTTCGATGTGGAAAAGTGAATTTATACAATGCAAAATATATTTTTTTTAATATAAATTCACGTTTCTACATCCAAAATGTAATTGTTATATGTAAACAATGTTTGTAAATCCCAGGCCCTGAAGATGATCTCAATAAAAATCGAAACGTTGGCACTATAAAGAAAATGTTTTTCTGAAACCTACATCACGCCAGACCGCATCTCACGATTTCTAAATAAATATCGATTAACCGTCACCAATCACCACACATTTATATAATTAATTATTGCAAAAAAATCTGTTATTCTTAAAATATTAATATAAACTGTACATTTACGTTAAAGTAGTATTTAATGCAGACTAGGTGAAAAATGTGTGATAATGCCCCGGAGCCAATTGAAAACAACTGTGTATGAATTTGAAGAAGAAATATGAAGAGAAGAGCAGGTTGTTAAAATAAGTAATTAAAGAAAAAAATTATTATTCTTAAAATATTAATTTATACTGTATATTTATGGTAAAGTAAAATGCTTCTTACATTTAATGCAGACTAGATGAAAAATGTGCAATAATGCCCTAGACCGAACTGAATACAACTGCGTATATATTTGAAGAATAAATACGAAAAGGAGAAGAAAATCTATAATTCCTAACATATTATTTTTATGGCTGTATATTTATGTTAATTAAAAATGTATTTATATTTTAGAACCACTTATTTTTTAAATTGTTAAACAACTATTTATATGGTTATTTATGTGATAGTTTATTGTGTAAATGGCTGTATAAAATTTTTGAGCCAATAAAAAATACAACTATGTAAACGAATTACTGTAAATCAAAAATTATATGGAATAAAAAATTCATACATATATGTTACGTATGGTGATTAGTGGCCGTTAATCGATAATTATTCAGAAATCGTGAGATGCGGTCTGGTGTGATGCAGGTTTCAGAAAAACATTTTCTTTATCGTGCCAACGTTTCGATCTTTATTGAGATCATCTTCAGGGCTCAAAGTGTTTGTCTTCTGTGTAATTGTGCCATTCTTGCCAATTGGGCACTCTCAACACGAACGCAAGAATGGCACAATTACACAATGTTTGTAAACCCCAGGCCCTGAAGATGATCTCAATGAAAATCGAAACGTTGGCACGTTAAAGAAAATGTTTTTCTGAAATCTACATCACACCAGACCGGATATCACGATTTCTGAATAATCATATATGTTACCTTACACATATACAAGAACATGTGCAACAAAAAGTGGATAATTCGTTGATAAATTTAAAAGTAATAAAATATTCCAACGTCTATATTTTTCCAAGACCCACTCAAGAATTGTTCAAATGAGTTGTGCAAATTTTGCCCCCTCCCCCATAAAAAGAAGATCACCATTATTTTCAGAACGAGCCGATTAGCACACAGAGATGTGTGAAAGAAGAGATAAAAAGGACAAAACTGTGAAAAGATAGACGTAAAAATTAACGTCGATTTACCGGGGGGAAAAGAGGAAAATGCAAGGGTAGTCCCAGGGCATTGAGTAACCGCCGGCGGGACAAGGACGCGAGGTAGGGACGGAGTATAAAACCGTGAAAGGAACCGAAGACCGTCAGAAACCGGCCGTACCTTAAACCACGGCTACGATGAACGCTTTCGTAAGTACAACTTAATATAAACGACCTTTCGGTGTGCGATCCTCTACGATTCGGCCCAACCCGTTGATCTGGATACGCGACATGGGTAAATAGAAAGCCAATGTTTCAAACGAGCCCGAGGCACTCGACGGCGTAATCTCCCTTACGAGCTTCATATTTTATATTATGAAACGTGCAAGAATTAATTTTTCTATCAGCTCTCTAGATTACAAAAATGAAAAATTCCCCAGGACCATCCACTCTTTACTGTAAAATTTTAATTTATACATTAAATTTTTTCCCAGACAATTAGATATAACAAAACCTTAATATTGCCATATAATGTAAACATATCTTCGTTGTTTCTCTTTCTGATAATCAAAAATAAACAGCCAGTCTTAAATCCTGCATCATATTTTATATAATGATGTAAAACGTTAACAGTATATATTAAAATTTTGCATCATATTTTATACAATGAACCCTACAAGAATTAATTTTTCTCTCGGCTCTCTAGATTACAAAAATAGAAAACTCCCCAGAACAAAAATTCACTCTTTGCTGTAAAATATTAAATGTATACATCAAAATTTTTCCGAGGCAATTTGATGTAATAAAACCCTTGTACTGACGTACCATATAAACATATCTTCGTTGTTTCTTCTTTCTGACAATTAAAAATAAACAGCATGTCTCAAATCATGCATCAAATTTTATATATCGAACCCTACAAATATTATCCCATTCAACAAACGTTCACTCTTTCCTGTAATATTTTAATTCACACATTAAATTTTTTCCGAGGCAATGTGGTGTACTCAAACCCTTATATTGACATATCATGTTGTCATAATTATATATGTAAAGATAAGTTTATATTACCTCTTATCGACAATCAATAATAAACAATATGACTTAAACCATGAACAATATAATTTTAGATTTTTTTCCATTTATCGAAGTATTATTTATGTCTACGCTGAAGTACAGATTTTTATGCTGTTTTTAGTCTGTAAACCCAAAACTTACTTTTCAAAATTTCAATTCGGATAATCTAAGACATTTTGATGTGCTAAAGGTCTTATAAAAAACCCCATGATACTTCTTTTTGTTAATCAATAATAAACAATATCCCTTAAATCATGCAGAACAATATCATTTTTTTTCATATTTTTTCTTCATCAAATTATTATTTAAATCAATACTGAAATCCAAATTTTTACGCGGTTTTTAACATGTAGAATAAAATAGATTGTAAGCTCAAAAACTTACTTTTCAAAATCTATATATTAACAGTTTGTAATTTCACTTCTTTCCCATATATGGATAATATTATTAAAACATTTTGTTCATTTCATTCATTTTATAAAATAAGTCTTAAAGATCTTATAAAAAATACAATGACATATACCTAATTTTTTTCATAAAACTTGAAAATCTACTTCATAGAGTGTCAAAATTCAAAATTTTTAATGTTGTTTTACCCCAATACTTTTCATAAAATTCTCTGGAAAAGAGGCAGGGTTTATCAGGGCTCGGAATGTTTTCAAAAAATAGCATTTTGATTCCTAATTATCAATATTTTTGGGTTTCATTTAGGCAGTATTAAATTTTTGAGATTTCTCCGTGTTGTCTTCCAGGTGATGAACGTGAAATTTGCTCGTCGCCAAACATTTTGGTCCGCATATCCTCGCTGGGGTGGTCTGTCAGACATTTTAACAGACACACTAAAAGCGGCGAAATGCCAAAACGCGTCTGATATACCACCACAACGAGGATAAACGGACCAGATTTTTAACGACCAAATTAAAGCCAATATTTTTTCAATACGTCCCAGCAGAAAGTTTTCACTTAGTTGAACCAAGACACATCTGACACAAGAGTTCTTAAGAACTCCAGTGAAAACAATTTGCAGCAATCGATAGAATTGTTGAAATATCACGTGTTAAAGCTGTTTATCCTGAAGGTATTGCGAAAACACGTGATTTATTATTATAAACTTTCTTTCAACAAATAATTACATGTTAAGGCAACAACAATTAACTCCTAGTGTTATATCGTATTATAAACGTATTATAAACGTAAAAAATTCAAATTCAAAAGGCGCAGTTTGTTGGTTCAAATTTATATCAATACGACTTTAACAGTTCTTTTCTACTTTTCATAAGCAATAATTTTAAGAAAATTTATCTTTTATTTAGATAAATCTATACAAATATTCAGGATTTAAATGTTTAACATGCGCACTTAAAAACACAAATTGCATATTTTAATAGTGTTTATCTCAGTTTTTATTAGTCTTTTTAAATACAACTTTGCTAAGCTTTGAACATATTTTATTGTCGTCCTCAAGGTTCCTGCATCATAGAACTTGCTTATTTTCCTTTTAGACGTTTTAATGAATTTCTAGAAATAGAATTTAGAATAATTTAATGTTAATTATTAAACTGAAGCTGAATCATTAAACGTTGAGGGTTGATCAAAAAAGATTTCTTTCAATTGCAATAGAGTTACAAATACAATTCTAAAATTTTCAGTCGAATTGCTGTCTGTTTGGTGATGTAACTGTAATTTGAGCCTTACTTTGTCTATAAGTTGTGTTGGTTTGTCTGACACGTTCTGTATTTCTTGGGTCAGGGATATAATAGGGGCGAGTCAACTACACACTGAAGTTGGCGAAATGCCGAAACGCGACTGACTGACCGCCCCTGCAAAGATTGACGGACCAAGACGAAAATTTAAAAAAAAAATTAAACAAAAAGCATATTTTCAAACTATTCTATGTTTATGGCATTTTTTTGAAGAAATTAATTTTTCAGCCTGTTTCGTTTGTTCTCGCTGTACATTTGTATATTTTTTTGCCTTTAGTTCCGCCACTCGGCGAGTACAAAGCGAGTCGAGGCGTGTCCAAACAGGAAAACGAAAGGCTTCTGTTACGCGGAGCGACGACAATATTACAAATTGGCAGTATTTTATGACAAACTGTTTTCTGATTTTCAATTATTCTGTCATATTTGTATTTGATTTATTCGCCGTGAATTTCTAATCCCCAGAAGAAATTTAATTTTTTAGGTGTTTTTAACCTACCCTAACCCTAGCCATAACTAAAACCTCCATAAACTAACCCATCCCTAACCCTTACCCTTACCTTAACATAAACCTCGCAAACTTCCCGGTAACGCAAAAATTGCCTCGCCCTCGCAAAAATTGTAAACATCCCAAAAATATAACCATATTAAAAAATCAAATCTAAGTCATCGTCGGTTTTGAACGTAATAAAACTGAGAAGGTAGTTTTTCTAATCTAATCCATCCCTAATCACAATCTAAACCATCCCAAACCTAACCTAACCCAACCCTAAACCTAAACTATGTGAACTCACCAGTAACACAAAAATTGCCTTGCAAAAAAATAACCCATGAAAAACATAATCGTGCTAAAATACCAAATTTATCGTCGTTTTTAAACGTAAGAAAACGCAGAACATAAGTTTTTTATCTCATATTTTCTAATATAAGCCTTAACCATATAACCTACACCCGGCGAACTCCCCAGTAACGCAAAAATTGCCTCGCAAAAAAATTGTACACCCTTCCCAAAAACATAGCCATGTTAAAAAAAAATCAAAGTCGAACAATTATCCTCGTTTTCGAGCTTAAGAAAACGCAGAACATAATTTTATTTATTTCATATTTTTATTTAAAATGTTTTCAAACAAGATTTAAAAAACTTCAGATTTAAAAAGGATTGTCTTGATTCTTTTCGTTTTTGTTCGGTAGAAAGGCGAATTGGCCCGATTGTGATTCACACGGGGCTGATTATACAACAGACAATACGCACGAGTCATACAGGCAAAGCCTAGCCCCTTTCCGACGAGATCCCGCCCGTTAGTGGACTCCTTTTTAAAACGTTTTCTTTGCATTTAAAAATTAAAAAAATCCAGAACGAGGAAAGTTCAAGAAGAGAAATCTCAAAAAGGGCGGATATACGTTATGAAATAGTGATGACAATTGCATTCTCTTTCAAATAACTGTCCTAAAATAAATCAATTTTCCATCAGGTTTATTGCAGGTTGAGATAGATCCGAATTTGGCACTGTTTTCTTTTGTAACCTAATATATACATTGCAAGATTCACCATGCATAAGATGCATATGTAGCAATGTATCGAATACTTTCACCAAAATTACAAAAAGTTTAAAAAAAACTTAATGGCATAATAAGGGGCCTTGTGATAATAATTACACGTCTTGTTCATGCTTTATGCTTTCACACACAAACTTATGCAATGGTAAACTTGTCAAATAGGACTGTTTTTACGAGTCGACGCCTTACATTGCTGTTTCTTTTTTGACATGATTAGGGACAAAATTATCCAAGTGTACTTCTTATTACCATTAATTAATTAGTAATTCTGGTCTTAATCGCACGGGAGTGTCGTCGATTTTGTTAATGTCTGACATCATGTCAAATTCGTGCACATTGTAAAATAGCTGTCCAAGCATTAACTTGTGAAATTTACAATTTAATTTAAATTGTGGGGTCTTCTAGTATGTGATAACATTTTTTTCGTTATAATATCCCATAAAGATGTTTTACATTAGTTTAAATTAAGCAGTTTTTAATCAAAAGTTTTTTGTTTGTTTTTGTCAGACAACTCTTGCGGTGTTTGTAGCCGCCTTAGTGCTCAGCGAAGCAGGATACCTAGGTGGAGGTAGCGGAGGAGGTTGGAAAGGAGGATACGGAGGTGGAAACGGATGGTCTAGCGGCGGAGGATACGGAGGAGGTGGATTCGGGGGCGGTGGATACAGTGGCGGTGGCTATTCCTCCGGCTGGAAGGGTCTCGGAGGCGGCGGCTACGGCGGTGGCGGCTACGGCGGCGGCGGCTACGGCGGCGGCGGCTACGGCGGCGGCGGCTATTCCGGCTGGAAAGGATTCGGTAGCGGAGGTACTGGATTCGGAAGCGGCGGATACTCATCCGGCTGGAAGGGACTCGGAGGCGGAGGCGGTGGCTACTCCTCCGGCTGGAAGGGCCTCGGAGGTGGAGGCGGTGGGTACTCCTCCGGTTGGAAAGGCTACGGATCAGGAGGAGGTGGAGGATACGGAGGATGGACCGGTGGACTAGGAGGCGGAAGCAGCGGCTGGTCCAAACCCGTTGTAGTCGTCAAGTCTTATCCCAGCTTCTCGAGCGGATGGTCATCCGGAGGTGGTGGATATGGAGGCGGCGGCTACGGAGGTGGTAGCGGATGGTCCTCAGGAGGAAGTGGTGGATATGGAAGTGGTGGCTACGGAGGTGGCAGTGGATGGTGGTAAAGAGCTTTAAACCAAACAGCATAATTTCTACCCATTATTGTACATAACCATGTTCATATTTTTTTTATAAAACCTAAATCAATAAACGAAACAGTATTTTTCTAAATTGTTGAATCTTTTATTCCTAATCTATTTTATTCCTGCATAAGATTTTCATCCAATTAGTGGTGAGACAGACAAGCTTCATTATCACTTCCTTTGTCAGCAATGAAAGGCAAATATTTAGAGAGAACCCATTTGATCAGCCTACATATAATCCCAAGACGATGCAAGCTAGAACAATAGTTGCATCGCTTTCGTTGACCTGGTAACTAACTGGTAAGCTCCAGATGTGATTGATTCGAATCAAGTTCAATAGATTCCGTGAATTTGTCGTCATTCGAGACAGAAGGTGTACCAGACCTTGGTTAATCATCATTCTCCTCGTTCCCAAAGTAAAATTTTGGGCAGTGCGCTCACTAATTGCTTCAGCACTAAATCCACTTCAAATTTTACAAGCTGCCTCGGTTGCCTAAGTATCGTCCACGGTTAAATTCTTTACCGTACCCATGTATGAGAACGTCCTTGAGGACTTGCAGATTTATTGCGAATATCTGGTGAGGCCAACGGTGAACTATCGATCGCGTGTGGCATGAGGGCCTGCTATATAAGATTAAAAAGTTACTACCCGATACATACTACCGGCTGGTGAAATCTTATGTGACTGACAGAAAATTTTTTGTCAGCTATAAAGGAGCGAACTCTGAAGTACACAACATCTCAGCGGGTGTTCCTCAAGGAAGTGTTCTGGGACCCCTCCTTTACATTCTGTACGAGCATGACTTTCCAGCAGATAGCAACATCGAAATAGCCCAATTTGCCGATGACAAAGCAGTACTGTCCCAAAGTATCACGCTCAGTGATGCAGAAACGAAGATGCAGAATTACTGCCAAAAAATTGATGATTGGGCATCCAAGTGGAAAGTTAAGCTGAATTCAACTAAGTCCAAACTCATTAACTTCACTTATAAGAAGACCTCAAGGCCCTCACATATAGTACTCGGTGGAACTAATGTACCTCAAGCGGACTCATATAAATACTTAGGGCTGCACTTGGACTCGCATCTCACCTGGAATAACCACATATCCTCATGTGTAACGAGAATTCGCTTGCGTATTCGCAATATCAAACCAATTCTCTCTAGCAATTCTGTCCAAATTCCACTTAAGCGACTCCTTTATCTAAGCCTAATAAAACCAATTTGGTTTTATGGCTCGCCCATTTGGTGTTCTGCATCCGCCTCGCAAATAAAAAGGATACAAACGCTGCAGAACCGTGTATTACGGTTAATAACAAACGCGCCCTGGTTCGTAAGGAATGAACAGCTCCATCATGAAATATCGTTGACATCGGTAGAAGACGAACTAAAGAAGAGATACCCGATGCTGCTTGCCAAAGCTGACTCACACCCGAATTCGGCAATTGCACAAATTCCAGGGAATATGCCTCCACCCCGCCAACAAAGACGGCTAAAAAGAAAGCATCATACGGACTACAGATTGTAAATATGTGTTAATGTAAATAAGTGCTAGTGTAAACGTGCGCCTGACGTTATATGATTATAGATAAAAACAAAAAATTAGGTTAATTTATTTATTAATGAGATATTTATTTATCTCAAATTATTATACTCCAGTGAATTATTGTGTGGACTGCCATAGGGCAGGACCCACCCTCAAATGCCATGTTAATCACACTTTTTGAGTGTGCTGTATATCAGTATTTATTAGCAAAACATAATGTGTATGTACACAAGAGTTAAATAAAATAAATAATAAAAACAAAATAAATAAAAATATACACATTATATAATAAATACATAAGTACACATCATATAATAAATAAAATAATTAATTAATTAACACAAGGAACAGAACAATGAAATAAATAGTTTTACTTATAAGTAAATAATTATGATAACACACGCGTAGAACACTGGTCTATATCACAGTATCGCACATCAATATTATGTACTTTCAAAAATGCATGTATCAACTCACGTCACACAGCCACGTTAAAGCGAGCTTTCCCAGAAAAACGGTCGCTCAAAATTTCTCAGCGTATACTGTATCAAAATTTCTCTCTTGCCTCTTCGTATTCTGAGGACGTCAAAATTATATGCTTCATGTTTTCCGCCTCGCCATTTGGAATACCTCTAAGGCTAATTTTATGTATATAAGCGCTGTAAATACAGTGGTTTGTACGAATCCGCGATATCAAAGCACAAAATTCGTTCGAACCATAAATTCCAAAGAACCATGGTTTTGATCCTATTTCTGCGGATTTATTATAGCATACCCGCAGTTCCCAGGGTGTAGCACGTCCAATTTTGCATCAACTGTTTGGTGAATAGGCATTTTGAGTCAGGCATATTCTCCTTGCTTTGTCGCTTCTTTGGCCAATCGTCCACTACCTCATTACCACGGATGCCACAATGTCACCAACTCCAGCAAAAAAATACCTTTTACTGCAGACATACATGGCATTAATGAATTCCGCTAGTAGATAATCACAGCTTGCGTTGAAATTGCTCCATTTTATGGAGCTTATACTGACCGAGACTATACAAAATTCATTCTCTTCCGACGTGGCAACATCCCTAAAATTTATAATCACAATCCTGGTGACTTGTTTTTTTATTTTGCCCAGTTGAGCCATGCTTCCCTACTAAAAATAAATACCATATACTGCTTTGATAGTAGTAAGAAATAGAGCTTTGAAGTTTTTTGTGCAGAATAGCCTCAATTAAATTGCCATATTTTTAGTTTTTGGTTATCTTGATTTTGTATTATAATTTATAGCTTTATTTATTGATTCATTCTTATTTTATTTTATCAAACAAGCAGGTACATTAAATTTAACGAGCAGAGTTGTGTTGATTACTTACTTAAAACAACATCAGAAAAGAAAGTTTTTTTACACTTTATTTTATTATCATTTAATAGTAACAACGCTGATGAATCACATATTTAAATTAATACCACTGAATTTCCATTACCTTTGTTCAACACAATTTATCTTCCCATTATGGTATGTTTTATAAAGAGAAAAGGGCTTTCATGCTGTACAAGTGAAACAAAGTAGTTTAGAAGTACAGGTTCACTTAAAAACATCCTCTCAAAACCTAAAGACAAAGTAGACANTATTTTTTTCCAGAAGTCCTTCAAAATGGCACATATGTTAATTTAACTACTAATATCAGAATTTTTCATTAAGATACGATAAAATTTTGGAAATAGTTTTTGACTCGTATTTTCTCCAAAATGTTTTAAGCTGTATAGCATTTTTTAAAACAGAAATTTTTACTATTTCTGGATAGATTTACATTAAAAAAATAATTAAAAAAAAAAAAATTCACAAAATTTCGAATAAGCCTTTCTTCTTAGCTGGGAAGAATGAGTATCAAGTAAAAGTTATTAACCTTTTATTAAATAAAAACATTGAAGATACAATTTTCTTTTGAAATTTGCTTGATTTTTTAGCTTGAAATTCTTGGTAAAAATAGTGGAGGAAGATATAAAAAAAAAAGGATTTAAATAATTTTAGAAATTTCAAACCATTTTGTTTAATCAATAAACACAATTTTTCTCTGTACAATGCAAATCTCCTTGTTAATTTACAATTGCATTTTTTTCTTTTTTTTTTCTTTTTTTTGACAGATACGATACTAATTTGCGGCATTGGATAAACATGCCTGCACATTCAAAGACAACAGATTCGATTAAAATACCTTAGCACAATCTAGATCCTCCCTTTGGGAAAAAAAAGATTAAACATTGAAACCAGGTGGGACAAATTGGCTTTTTTATGGAAAAGGCATTGCTACAATTGATAGCCGATCACAAGAGTGGATGAAAAAATAAAAAATAAAGTAAAGAACCATACAACATAATTGCACTGATCAATATTTAAAAATTATATATAAAAAATCAAGCATAAGCATAGAAATAGGTAACTTATTACAGTTATAATAATGACTACACAATCTTCTTTTTTACAATTACATTTCAAACCATTGCATATTTTTATCAAGTAAAATTCTAAAAAAACTTTTCAATTGTTTAAAAAACCCTATTTAAGGAAAACAAATGATTTTTAAAAAAATCAACCACCAAAATTTTGAATAAATTGAATATTTAATTTTTTTTATTTTAAATCATATTCAAATAAATGAACAAATATACAAAATAACACTTTAATGAGTGAAAAGAACATGTTTTTATAATCCTGATAAATTTTTAAAAAAATACAAAAGAAAAATCAAACTATCTTCTCAGTGCTTGGAAAATGTAAGTTGATTTTGATTTATAGAGATATTCATAATTTACATTTCCTTATAAACGCCCCCAATGGGTCGGGCGTTTAAATTAGCCGGGGTAACATATTTCAATTGCACAAAAAAAAAAAAAAAAAAAAAAAAAAAGGATAATGAATAAAGCAAAACAAGAAGGCTCTAACAATAATACATATGTCAATCTAGATACAAATAAATATATATCTCGCATTCCACATGGAAAGATTTTTCTTCTTTTATTTAAAGCCTTGGGCAAAATTCACTACAGTTTATAATTAAGGTACACACATGGTAACCAAAATTAATCTATTTCATTACAAAAATATTTGTATTTTTACACCTGTTGAGGACAGCATCAAATAAAATAAAATAAAATTAATGAGAGTGATATCTCATTCTAGTGGATGAAACTTCTACATAAATTAAAATTCAACATTTTTTTTATTAAACAAAGTAAATTTACTTTTTTGGGTAACACTATATATAAATTGTTCTTTTTGTATTTTTTATTTTATTTATACTTATTTTTTATTTAATTAATTCATTTTTTAAATAATTCGTGCAGAGATAAACTAAAAAACTAGAACATTTATTTTTTCTGAACAAAATACAAATTTGATCAATTAAATTTGGCTATAAAAACCACGACCCCTATCAAATACCTCATTTTTTAAATACATATTATTTTTATAATTAGATTTTTAGTATAAATATTTTCTTTGTTTCATTTCATTCTTTTTATATATTTTTTGTAATTTAATGTATTTTTTCTAAATTCATCTAGGTTCTGAGGTTAAGATTGTAGCTTGCAACGAATCAGTTATCAATTACTTGGTCAATGGATCTTAACTTTTAACTGTATTGATACAAAAATGATTTTATCATGTGCTTGTTTATGTTAAACGCCTAGTCTTGATACAATTCCAATTGTCCGAGAAAAGGCCATGTTAAATATTTACACTGGAACCATCCCTAGTGGACTAGCGACTGGAGGTGAATCACTGGCGTGAGCGCTTTGTCGATCTCTTTGCAGGAGGTGCAGTGCTCTCCCCACCGGATGATCGCCTGCAAATTGAATGAACAATTAAAAACCCTCTCAAAACTCTTGTAGTTTCCAAAAATATAACCAGAAATTTAAAATAATGGAATAAGAAAAAGTATGTTTTAACGTAAAAAGCAAACAAGGTTTTTTGGGGGGTTTTTGTGCAAAAGTATAAAAATGGTAACAGATTGATTACTTAAACTATTGATTGTCCATTGCTTTTTCCCATCTGCATGCATATGAATTTTGCACTGAAAACTTGCATTTAGAAGGTAATGAAGAAATGAAAGAATCGCCCCACTTTTTTCTTTAATCAAAAGAATAGAAGTGCTGCTCAGATGGGCCATGAACTGGCCATTAGGGACCATACATCCCAGTGCCCCCAGCCCAGAAGTGAAGGAAGAAAGAATACAAGAAGAAAAAGCCCAAGAAAAGAGAAAACGCCACGAAAGTAAAAATCAAAGGAGGAAATTTGTCACTTGGACTCAAACTGTTAGGGATTACCTCTCTCGCTGAAACCAGTTTAACAGATATGTCGTTGTGGAGGGAGGGGAATGTCACATCTACAACACATCTTTCCTCCTGTGCAATGGGATATTGAAATTATGCAAGCTGACTAACATTACCAAAAACAAGGAAGGAAAATTAATTCTAGGACTGGAGAGTAAAAAATTGAGGTAATTACAATGACAGGCTGGCTGGTCACAAGGTCTCGGTAACACCACGTCAGAGGTTAAATACCTATCATGGTGTTGTGACATGTGGCGGTGTGACATTTCCGGGACCTTTGAATAGTAGCGTCAAGAATTAAGGAAGACCGGGGGGGGGCAGAAGTGAGGGGATGAACACTCGCCGGAATGGGCAACTTATCCTTCAGCGAGTCTAATCCTCTCATGTTGAACGGGCACAACTGTTACTGAGTCTGTCTTCACCCGTGGGTTTTTTTTTTAAATTCAAACGCATTTCGGCATTGTGCCATCTTCAGTGAGAAACTGACATTTTGTCTGAGTACAGTTTATAAAGTATTGGGTCCGTCCCTTTACTTTACTACTCTACTTTACTTCACTTTAGTTTCGGCATTGTGCCATGTTCAATGAGAAACTGTCATTTTGTCTGTTTATATAGTATTGGGTCTGTCACTCGTCACTTGTTATGAAGTGTTTTTAATGGTGTGATGGTAGTATGTGAATGTGAGTTTGTTTGTGCGTTTATAAAGGTGGCCATTCACGATCGCTCCAAGCAGTCCAAACGGAGCGACGCCGTTCCAAAAACCACGTCAATGGCAAAACTGAACTGGCGTGCCCAAATTCGACCAGTCCAAACTCCATCGCACCACTCCAAATATCAACGGCGCGACGACGGCATGGCGCGTTTGTGAATGGGAAAACCTGGCGTGGAGGGTGGGTATTTTGGCACGCTGGCCTGGTCGTGAATGGGAAAAACCCTCGTTTTTTTGGCGCAGTCTCCATCTTTCTGTCACTGAGCAAACATCTCCGTTGTACATTCTCAAAAAGTCTAAAACGTTTATTCTTTATTGGTAATGACATCCAATCGAGATTTTATTGTTGAGGTGATTGAATTGTATGAAAGTGGTTTATGAAAGTGGTGGACAATGATTATATTACCACGATAGAAATAAAAGAAATTCGATCCTCAACCAGTGGGTTGACGTTTTCAAAACAAAGGATACAAATGCTATGAGAGATGCGGTATTGATAACCCCTAACAATGATCAGAAATCGTAGTAGAGAACTTGTTCTTTGTAGTTCATCCCTGTAGCGAGAAATCGTAATGTGGTTGCCAACCTTTCATGTAGTGATGATTTCTCTCATGACGTCTTTTGTTTTCTAATCAAGGGGGTAACAAGCTGGAGTAAATAAGACGTTAATCTTTTTTTTTGTAAGTTTTTGGTTGAAATGAAAAAATAGTGTCACGAGGGGATTCGAATCCACGACATTCGGCTAAATACGCCGCTGCGCTAACCACTTGAGCTATCCTGACTTCGATAGTTCGATCCACTCGGGCACCAACTCCCCATCTCAACCTACAACCTTTCGAATTTTCTCTCATTTTGCCTAGTTTTGGTGTCAGAGAGGATCGAAGTCACGATAGCTCAAGTGGTAGAGCAGCGGCGTATTTAGCCGAAGGCCATGGATTCAGATCCCGCTCGTGGTACTAGCTTTTTCATTTCAACCAAAACCTTACAAAAAAGATTAAATAATTGAAAGAAGTAATTTTGTCAATGGAACACTAAATATAATGAATAAATAAGACGTTTCATCCATCCTTAAATAGTTCCTCGAAATAGCGGATTCAAGGGAAAGTTTTTTCATCAAATTGATGTGTGTATTATGGCTTTTGTTCAGGAGCCACTTCTTACACCAATTCCTCTTTGATTGTTTGCTTTTAATATGTAAATAAACAGAAGAGTAGCACAAGAGATCGTCATCCATTTTGAGAAGGTAATTCACTGTTCGGAGCGACTGCCTGAGGAGCGGTCGTGAATGCCCCTCAAATTTCAGGCACTCCAAATGGAGCTGTACGGCTGGGCGCGGATCCATTTGGAGTGATCGTGAATGGCCACCTTAAGTTTTCCGTCTTGAAGTGTATCTACTTGTATATCTCAAGATTCTCCAGTATGTTTAGTTTTTGTCCTTTTTGTGCACGTAGTGGATTAATGTCATGCTTGTTTCTATTGTGTTTGGTTCATGGTTGTAGTGTATTAAGTGTGTGACATAATCTGATTTTCCGTCATTGTCTCTGAAGGATCTAAAGCCAGAAACACACTTCCCCGATGCTACGCCATGCGACGCTACCCGATGCTACCCGACGCAAATCCAAACTCCAATTTTCCATAAGGTTGCATTACCCCCGTGTACATCTACCCGATGCTATGCCACGCTAACCTACCCCTGACGCTCTGCAATCCCCACTGTCCAGATTTTCGTCGGGTCGCATCGAGTACAATCAAAGACAAAAGAACCGGACACTCATATTTTTATTCAAACTACATGTATTATTGTTGTTATATTAATTACAACATACTTATTTTAATAGAAACCAAATTAACTGTAATTAAAAATTAATTAGTTTTTATTTTAAAAATTAATTTTAATGGTTTGGTAGAAAATTAATCAAAACACCGGAATACCACTTTTTGCTATAATGAATTTAACTAACAATTTATTGTACTCGCTTTGGCAGTACATATACTAAAATTGGAAGAATTTATTACATGGTTTTGCTCATAAAATTTAATTAACAATTTATTTCATAGTTTTGCTCGTAAAATTACACCATTTTCTAATGTCAGGTAGCATCAGAACAGGACACTCATACATTTTGTAGTTTATTTCAAACTAAGTACATGTAATTTTGTCGTTATATTAATTACAACATGTTATTATTATTTTTATTATTATTAATTTTTAAGGGTGTTTTAACGGCTAAGGTCATTTCACGCCCTAACATCCAAACCTTCTATCTTAGGTTAGCTATATCTCTTGTGAGTGCTATAAAGCTCTGACTCCGTAATCTAATTTATCCTATTGCCATCCAAGCTTTAATTTTTCATTTTCCAAATTAAACGAGATCAAAAATGCATAAGTTTTTTAAACATTGTTTAATTAGATTGTTAGGAGTAACTTTATTTAAAACAATTAAGATTAATAAACAATTTATTAGATGGTTGTGCTCATAAAATTCAACTAACAATTTATTACAAGGTTTTGCTCAAAATAGTGCATTAAGAACAAAAGATGCGTTGCGATTGTGATAGTGATTATTGTGACAAACTGTAGGCGACGTGTACTTGCGTCGGATAGATGTGCACACCCCACCAAAACGTGGCAAGGCGTTGGGTAGCATCGCATGGCATAGCATCGGGTAAGTGTGTTCCTAGCTGAAGATGTTCTTTAAATCGATCTCCTAGTTTCCTTCCAGTCTGTCCAATGTGTATCCACATTGACATGTGATGCTATAAACACCATTATTGTCTAGTGGGTTAGTTTGTCTCTGAAGGATCTAAGATGTTCTTTAAATTGATCTCCTAGTTTCTGTCCAGTCTGTTCAATGTAAGTGTATCCACATTGACATGTGATGCTATAAACACCACCACTAGGGTTAGTTGTGTCTAAGTTTCTTTTTAGTAGTTTACCTGCGTTATTGTTGGTCCTTAGTGCTGTTTTTAGTCTAAGTTTGTTGAACAAATTCGTTAGTCTGTAGGTTTATTTTCCTGAGTATGTGAATGTTGTCCTTTTGTTGTGCTTTTTTTTTCTTTGTTTTTAGAAAAACAACAAAGACAAACCGAGGAAGTGGCCGTCTGTCGGTTCAACGTGAGTTCACCGACTCGCAGACCAAAACCCATCATCCACTCTAATCCTCTCATTCGACACTCCTAAATGCCCCAATGAGATTAGGGCAGCATTCTACCAATTAAAGGTCTGCCATTGAGCCTTAAGGAAATTTGAAAAAGTCCTTTTTAAAAAGATAGTTCCTACTCACAGTAAGTTGTTTTTCAACGATCCGGATTTCGAGCCTTTTAGCTCATCATCAGGTTGAAGGATTTCTACAACCACGTCTCTCGACATGAATTGCCAAAGTGAACCACTGATACCTCCGCCAACGCGACGTTCCAATTAGCAGCTGATTTTTTTAATGGCGCTCAATTTGAACATGCGAAACGCGGAAATTATATCACAAATAAATATTATACTAGTAAATACTTAATATTATTAAATTACTATAACAATTAAAATAATTAGTTTAATTATTTGGATGTTTGATATTATTTATGTACATATTTAAAATGGGAGGTAGATCAAAAACTGTTATATTATTAATGCATTTATCACCATGTTCAATTTTACATTTTTTAATTTCAAATTTCTCAAACCAATCTAGTTCTTTCCCTTTGTTGAAACTATGTAACACTCTTGTATTTAGATTTGAATTGAAATTATGTTTTGTTTCTTTTAGATGGTCCTTAAATTCCGAAAATTTGCTCGATTTAGGCAAGCGTTCTTTTACTCTTGTTTTTATTTCTCTACTGCTTTGTCCTATATATTTAATATCACAATCATTACAATTGAGTTGGTAAACCCCGCTTTTTGCCAAGTTGTCTACTTTGTCTTTAGGTTTTGAGAGTATGTTTTTAAGTGAACCCGTAACTTCTAAAAGCTATAGAAGCTACGTTATAAAACCTTCTTGTTTAAAAATTTTACTAACTTTTTCCGATAATTCACCAATGTATGGCAAACAATGGAAACCTAATGATTCATTTGTGGTGGGGTGGCTGAGTGCTACTGTTGATTCGTTTAAAGTTAATTTTTTTATTCTTTTAACTAGCAACCTATCAATAAATATTTCTTGATACCCGGTTTTTTGCTAGGGTTTTAATAGTTTTTAATTCTTTTTTATAGTTATCAGTGATGATTGTGATATTAAATATATAGGACAAAAGAACATTTGCCTAAATCGAGCAAATTTTCGGAATTTAAGGACCATCTAAAAGAAACAAAACATAATTTTAATTCAAATTTAAATACAAGAGTGTTACATAGTTTCAACAAAGGGAAAGAACTAGATTGGTTTGAGAAATTTGAAATTAAAAAATGTAAAATTGAACATGGTGATAAATGCATTTATAATAAAACAGATTTTGATCTACCTCCCATTTTAAATATGTACATAAATAATATCAAACATCCAAATAATTAAACTAATTACTTTAATTGTTATAGTAATTTAATAATATTAAGTATTTACTAGTATAATATTTATTTGTGTTATAATTTCCACGTTTCGCACGTTCAAATTGAGCGCCATTAAAAAAAATCAGCTGCTAATTGGAACGTCGTGTTGGCGGAGTTATCAGTGGGATCACTTTGGCAATTCATGTCGAGATGTGGTTGTAGAAGTCCTTCAACCTTATGAGCAAAAAGGCTCAAAATCCAGATCATCGCAAAACAACTTACTGTGAGTAGGAACTATCTTTTTAAAAAGGATTGAACACCACACTCACTCCATCATTTATCATTTCTATTTGAAAAAGTTGTAGGTTGAGGTGATGAGTTGGTGTGGTGTCCCTGGGGACCAAAAACACGATAGCTCAAGTGGTTACAGTAGCAAAGTTCATGGGTTCGAGTTCCGATCATGACATTAATTTTTCATCTCAACCAAACTTTACATAAAAATTAAAAATCAATTTATTAAGTACCAGAATGAGTTCATAAAACTATATATGTTTAATACATATGATTTAAAATATATTTTGGGAAAAATCTGTTTCAATATTTCATTTAAATTAGAGGATAAAGAAGTTTAATCAATTACCTTTTTGTTGCTCTAGATGGTGTACTTTCAGAAACCTCTGGAGCAGTGGCATCATCTTTCACCTCCTCTTCTGATTTCCTGACGCTTTTTCTTGTTCCTTTCCTAAAGTCATAAAAAATTAAAGTAGAATGTGCTTTTAATTTTTTTAAATGTTGGATGATTTAATACGAACAGGTCAGACCTTGATGTCAACGTGGATTCGTTTCCAGACTCGTCACCGTCTTCTTTGTTAATTCTCCCTCTGGACCGTCTCCCACTGACTAAATTATCTAAACAGATTAAAAAAACATACTGCATCGTATTTGAACGAAATTTTAAAAAACTGACTTTTACCTAGAGACACCATGTGTACTTTCTTGGCGCTGATGTCGTTGTTGGGCTCGAGCTGCTGTTTTATAGTTTTCATATGTAGAGCTCTGATCGCAAGCTTGTTGAAACCGAGGTCAAACTGATTCTCGTTCGCCTTGGCACGCAATGTAAACTCCACGTTGTTGTTATCAATACTAATACAAAGTGAAAATTATCAATAAATCAAAGGTTAAAAATAATTTAATGTTACCATTTGGTAGAAACGACGACCATTTCAGTTTCATCTTCAAGATCGCAGACAATGCAATCCGTCGGAATGAGATAAGCCGGGAGAATGTTTATGTTTTTCATCTCGCGGACAAGACCGTCGTAAAACTTGACCTTGACGTTGGTCTCTTCCTTCCAGTCTGAGGTCATCAGGCCTTCGATTATCCCTGGATAGTACCAACCGCTGTTGGGCCATTTTGCAAACACAGCTAGGCCTTTGAGGCTCTTGAATTTCGCTTCTGTCAGAGGTTCAAAGCTTGTTGTCTCTGGTTTCTTTTCCTTCGATCTTCTCTCATGGGTCTCCTTTTCCGTATCAGGAGCTGAGACCTTCCCCCTTGATTTTCTCTTACGACTACCAGGCTGTTCCTACAAAACAAAACCAATATAGATCTGGTTAATAAATATTTTTATGTATTCACCTCTGCAAAAAATGGCTCGCTCAAGTGTTTCAAGGAGTTAGAAGACTTCTGTGCATATGCAGCGATGTCGGCGAGAACACGGACAAGATTGCTCAAATCAGCGGAGCAATCAGGCTTCTTAACCTTGATGAATTTCTCCAGGTGGCCTTTTGTTAGTTCAACCTGATGCGCTACCTTCAAAAGTCTCATCTAGCATGATTAAGGGTAAAATATCATTAATATAAATCTTAAATCAAATAAAATAAAAATGAAAAGAAAAACCTACTGGCTCAGACAAAACATCGTCTTTTTCATCTTCCTCTTCAATTTTTTCAGTATTCGATTCTACATTTTGTTCATCCACAACCTAGAGATAAAAAGTACATATATATTCAATCGATTTATTTTTAAAGTAAATAAACAAAAACACTACCATTTCTTCATTCTTATCCTCATCATCTTCAGTTTTATAAACTTTCTCTGCTTTCTTCTCTTTCATTTCTTCTTCTTCTTTAACATCTTAAAAATTTTACGATACAATAAAAGATATAATAATTAAAAAATTGATCATACCATCTTTGTCATTTTTTTCCAATTCCATCTCTACTTTAGAAATCATAGCTTCGGAAGCTTTCTCACCATCCTGTTCATCCTTCGAACTCCTAATGGGAAAATATAATAAAATAAACTGAATTCCACTAATAATTTTTTGTTTGAATATCTGATTGAAAAACTTACTCATCTTCCAGTTTTGAACTATTGGAAGCTTGAGAATAAGGTGTGGTGTTTGAGTCTTTAAGTTGTAAAGCATCACTTCTAAAAAAAAATAAAAATAAAAAATAATAAAAAATTAAAAAAAAAAATATTTAAAAAACAGTTAAATAAGTGCTTAAGTGCTTAAATTGTGATAAATTAAGGATTCGACTTACTTTAATTTGTCTTCCACGCTGTCGACATTATCTACTTTACCATCTGTCAATTCTTCTTTTTGTTCTTCAGATTCTATATCGTATATTAAAAATTAAATTATTAATTTAATCTATTAAAAAATAAATATACACAGAATGTTTAAAAAATAATAATTGCGTACGTTTAGGCATTTCTGGACCGGCTGGCTCAGTTGATTCCTGAAGTTCATCAAAATCTTTCGACCTGAAAGCGTAAACAAAAATAAAATGTAAATCTTCAAAAAATGTAATGGAACCTCACCTTGATAGTTCATCCATCGAGTCAGGGTTGTGCCCGTTGGGCATCTCTTGGTCTTCGTCGCACTTCTTCGGGAAGACTGAATTGTGTGTGTCCTCTTTGTGTTTGTCCACACTGAAATACAAATATTGAAATTATTTTAGAAAAAAACCAAAAACATTTTTTTAGTCACTGACGTCTGCTGCAGATCATTAATCTTCCCGTTCAGTTTAGAACCTTGTTCCATACCTTCCATCCCCCAACTCATTGCTACCTCGTTTTGGTTCATGGCTGAAAATCACCAATAAAACAAATTCCAATTAGGCAGGGGGAAATATGATGTACTAAACTATTTGAGAAAAGAAATAATGCCCTTAACCAATGTATATTTAAGTGAGAATGAACCTTTTCCTCTGTCTCATACTACTTAAGAATTGATGAACTTGCAACCCAAAGGCTTTTTCTTACTATTCTGATCCAGCAATGATAATTATGGAACTAACCAACCTATGCTTCTTCTGAGTAAATATTAGAAGTATCGATCAATCTTGCCTTTAAAACATGAAAGCCTTTGCTTTTCAAGGCATTCCTTTTTTATTGTACTTTTAATAAAAATGCGATAAAGAAAATGGCAATGTTAGTAGGCTGGATTGGCAGAGAAGCTCTTACATAATTTAAGGACAGTACAAAGATGACTCTCTGAGAAGAGGAGGGATCATTCTCACCTGATTTGACCCAGAAACAATAACTTATTGGTCTAAGATCATTTTTGCTCTTCACAGGGTCACAGATGACCAGTCTTTTGTCGTCCACTACAACCTAAAAGATCTATTGTCAAATAAAGGAATGACTAAAGCTCATGCATGTTTCTGTTATGCAAAGAAAGGTTGCTTGATACGTACCTTTCACTTCTAATAATCAGAAAATTTTATTTTCCCCAACATTATACCATTTCCTTTACTAAGAAGAATACTTCTAATATCTGGACAATCTATAGATTTATATATTTGTGAAGTCAAGTTTCTTGTCTACACCAAAATCACCCATATCCAATACTGAGGATGAAAAGGGTGTTCAATTTCAATCCTTTTTAGAGCCAAATTTTCAAGAGATTTAATTGGTATTTATTTAGTCGTGAGATGCGGTCTGGTGTGATGTAAGTTTCAGAAAAACATTTTCTTTATCGTGCCAACGTTTCGATCTTTTATTGAAATCATCTTCTGTGCCTGGGATTTACAAACATTGTTTACAAATAACAGTTACATTTTGGATGTGGAAAAGTGAATTTATACAATGCAAAATATATTTTTTATATATTCAATCAAAGTATTTCTAATAATAATTATTATTATTAACACAGACACAAACACATACAGCATAATCAAATCAGACCCTACTCCTACTCTAATCAAACAGACAAAAAAAATTCTCCAAGAAACACTTAAACGAAAAGAAATTGACATACACCTACAAATCACTTCAAAACAACTCACCAACACCACCGAAACTATATGGCTATGTAAAAACACATAAACCTGAACACCCTCTAAGACCATAATTTCATTTGTAAACTCACCCACATATAACATGACAAAATACCTAACCAACATACTCAACATCACAGATAACACATATAATGTAAATGATTCATTTCATTTCATTAACAAAATTAATAATATCCACATCCCCTCACACTACTCTCTCATATCCCTAGATGTTTCATCACTGTTTACCAACATCCCAACAGACACAACACTGAACATTATTAAAGATAAATGGCCCAACATAACACCACACAACTCTATCAAAGAATATGTTCATTACAATGACCCGACACTGCTGTGTTAACAGATATTTTACATACGACAATCAATTTTACAAACAACTATTTGGCATAGCCATGGGTAGCAACCTAGGCCCGATACTTGCAGACATAATTATGACACAGTCATACCACAACTTCCTTTCACATTACCCTTCCTCACTAAATACGTAGATGATATATTGACAGCAGTTCCCACAGATCAAATTCAAACTGCATTAGATACATTCTTTCACCCAAGCCCACAATTTACACATGAAATCGAAAACAACAAAACAATACCTTTTTTAGATACACTCGTAATAAAACAACCAGATGGCACATTAATCACAGATTGGTATCAAAAACCAAGAGACACAGATCGCTACCTCAACTTTACATCTCACCATCCCCTTCGTACAATAATAAACACGGCCAAAGGGTTACTTCACAGAATGATTACCCTGAGCCATGAATCATTTCACCACAAGAACATAAAGATATACAAACAGATCCTCCATAACAATCTCTACCCTAAGCACATAATTAACAGAATAATCAACAACTACAACTCAACACTAACACATTCCACTATTACCAATAATACTACATTAAATCTATCGAATACAAACAAACCAGCATACATTTCCATACCATTTATCCAAGGCCTATCACATAAATTAAACTCATTTCTCTTGTCCAATAACTTCAAAATAGCTTTCAAAAATTATAAAACAATTCAAACACTTTTTTTACAAAATTAAAGATCCCGCACCAATAACAAATAAATCTGACGTAATCTACAAGATCAACTGTCTAAACTGTCCGGCAACTTACATCGGTCTTACATCCCAATATCTCGACAAGAGTAAAGCAACATATCTACGATTGCAAAAAACCTAAACCAAATCCTACAGCACTTGCTACCCACCATTTTGAACACAAACACAATTTCGACTTCAACAATCCAAAAGTATTACACACAGAACAAAACAAACATAAATGTAATTTCTTAGAAATGGTTTTCAACAGAGATAAACACAGCATCAATTACAGAACAGATACATGTACACTCAGTCGCAGCTACACCAATGTCATTAATCAAATTCAATACAGATAGCATACCTATATCATCACATTACATTCCACACATCAAATATTTTTCACATAGTCTAATTTCCCAACAATTTAGCTTTCCTTTTCCTATTTATCCCTTTCTATATAATCCTGAAAGGATAATCTGGCCGAAACATTTTTTCCGTTCGTCGGCTCTTTTCACCTCAAAGAAGCCGACGCCTTATACAAAAATATCTTTCCTATACCGACATCCTTCCCCACCCCTTCAAAATCCAACGTATATAAACACAAAATAGCAAAATCTCACTAGCACTCTCGACTTGACATGCAAGAATGGCACAATTACACAGAAGACAAACACTTTGAGTGAGTAGAAATACTTTGATTGAATATAAAAAAATATGCATTGTATAAATTCACTTTTCCACATCCAAAATGTAATTGTTATATGTAAACAATGTTTGTAAATCCCAGGCCCTGAAGATGGTCTCAATAAAGATCGAAACACTGGCACGATAAGAAAATGTTTTTCTGAAACCTACATCACACCAGACCGCATCTCACAATTTCTAAATAAATATCGATTAACGGTCACTAATCACCACACAGATTTAATTGGTTCTATAAATTGTTTACTTAGATGAAACAATAAGTTTTAGTATTTTTTTCCTTAAAAGCATGGTTTAATCCTGGGTTCGAATACTGGCATAACCCATGGAATTACAGTTGAGAACAGTATTTTAAAAAATAAGGACAGAGGAGGCCGAGTGGTTAGGGAGTCGAACTGATATTTACCACACTAGCACTCCTGGGTTCAAATTCCAGCCCAGACCATGGTGAAAAAGTGTTGTAAAGTGGTTGTAACCTGGGCCAGCCAGTGTTGGAACTCTCCTTTATTTAGTTGGAAGGGTTAAGATAGTTCACAAGATCGTCATTTTAGACAGAGTGGAGGATTATAAGGGTGGGACATTGAGGAAAGAGTTGAGAGAGCAGTTTAGAGTGGAAAATCAAATTAAAATGGGAAAATCCTTCATGAATAGAATTTCTAAGCTGGGTTTCCACTGCACGAAAAAATCACTCATGCAACCCAAGAATTATTTACGAAATGCCATCTCGGGTTAACCATTTCCACAAGGTGAAACATTTCACAACATAGAGGCGAAACAAAGTGAGCCATCTGTTAAGCGAGAGAAGCATGCTGTTTATAACTACGCAAACTGCAGCATCAGTGTTTGCTACCATGGAGATACGTTATAAAGAAATCAAAAAATTATTTCATCAGCGAATCCCTTTAGTTTTCATTTTTGCTTTAAGAGTACCAACAGTTTGTCCCATTTTGATGATAATTTCCTTCCACACATCTCTCTCTTGCTCTTGTTCTGATGGAGTTTTATCTTTAGCATCCCAGAAAAATCAGTAGCTGTGAAACATTTGGATAAGTCGAATGCACTCCTCTTGGTTCATTCTCAAACTTGAGAAAAGTGCATTTACACCGAGCGAAGCAAACAATGCGATGCTGTACTACTTTTTTTTTTTGCCTTATGATCTATGCATATTAGCCATGGTGATGAATTCTTATATGAGTGTTCAAATTGGGGGGGGGGTTATCATGAAAAAAGGGCCAGAGGTGATGGTGGGAATCGAACCCACGACCGCGGCGTGAGAGTCTCTCATGCTAACCCCCTGCTTTACTACTTTATGCATACTAAAAAACTGACAGCTGGCCAGCTAACATGAAACATCCTCATGCCAAAAATTTTGCAGTCCGGCAGGTTTCTACAAAGCAAAAAAGTGAGTTTTGGGCAGGGGAAACCCAGCTTAAGATCTTTATGATTTGATTGGTGATGTAGAAGGGAGCATTGAGGACAGTGGTAATCTTTGGGTTGAAAGGATTCGATTCAGTGGATATTGGAGGAATTGACTGAGACCTAAAGTTTGTAAGTCTTATCAATATATTGCTACCGAAGTAGGCTAGCTGACGTGGTTGGACATTAAGCCGTCGTGTATCGAATTTCTTTACATTACTTTTTAATGCTTACAGTTGCAAGAGTTGAAATAGTAATGTCATATAACAATGATATTGCTGTTTTTAAAATAAATAAAGCCTGATTTTTATCCCAAAGGTGAAGGTCAATGTAATTGAAATATAAATACAATGGTTGGATGAGAGGAGAAAGAAGAAAAGTTAATATAATTTTCCGTTTTAAGTTTTCCCTCCATTTCAAAGAACTGGAATGTGCAATGGTAACGCTTTTTTGTTAGATAGTGCGCAAATCAAAATTGCACCGAATTATGTAAAAAAAAAAAAAAAGAGTGTAAGGAAAATGGTTTTGTTTTTCTTCTCAGGGAGGGAACGAAAAAATGGAAATACGAGTGAAAAATTGACGGCAGATCGATAAAAATTGCTTTGCCGTCGTTGCGAGTGCTTTGTCGCCAGGCCTGAACCGTGCCGAACGCGTCTAAATTTCAAGCTGCTTCATCTCCGTTGGACCAAACACCGGGTATAAAATGCAAAAAAATAAAAATAAGAAGGCCATTTAAAGAAAAATTGGATTGCGCTTAGGAAAAAAGGAACAGAATGAAAAAACCGACCCGACATAACCTTTAATCGGAAAAACACGGGAAAATTGTCGAAACCGGCCGGAAGAAATTGTTAAGGTAAATGGTACGGATCGGACCCGGGATGGAAAAGCGTCAGACGATATTTACCTTGCGTCGCGTATCCTCGAGTTGTCAAACACGTCAATTCTGCTGCGGACGCGAGTCCAACTCCAGACGTGGTCCTTGTTTGCTTCGCACCTTTGCTGAGCCGGCGTAGTCGTTCGATAAGCCTTCAGCCCAATCCGACTCTCCCTCCACGGCGTTTCCGCCTTTTCGGCCCGATCCATCCGCTCTTGGTCTTTTTGAAAATCAACCACAAATTTCTACCCAAAGAAAATCTAATTCCCTTCTCCGACGAAGAAAATTCAGACCGGATATTTTTTATCCAAAACAATTAAAGACTAATTTTAAGGGTGAACACCATCTTTAACCCTAGCAGGTCACTGTTATATTTTTGGGATATGGTGGTCACCCTGGAGGTCAAACGTGACCTCAAAACTTCACATTTTTTCTATAACTCAAATTTTAACACACAATTTCATATTGCTAACTCATTATTGGTTTAACCACAGCCAATAAGTAATATAATTACAGTTTTTTTGCTTTAAGCGTTTTTGGAAAAAGTAGAACTTGAAAAAATCAAAAACTTGAAAAAAATTTTGAATCAGGTATGATTTTTTTTAACGATTAGATTATTTTCAACTATAATTAATAATAATATGTATGATGGTAATATGAATGTAATAAATGGTAATATGTATGGTAATATGAAGAAAAAAGATAAGTTAGGAGTGCATTGTTAAACTGCTGAAAATCTAATACAAATAATAGCTCTAATTGTCGTTTTATAATGCGTAATTTAAAAAAAATACACAATCTTATTAATAAGCCAAATTGTGTTGCTCTGTAAAAATACAAAAGTAATTTATTACTAATAACAAATGTAAATTATATATATATATGATGGTTTTATTATGCCATATCTTTTTTACAAAAGTGCCTTCCTGATTATCTACTTAGGAATATATACAAAACTAGTATAGATAGGGTAGTGAGGATAATTTGGGAAAATTTAGTTTACATTGAAACTGTTTACTAGAGAAACACTTTTTTTTCTGAAGTGGAAAAATATAGCTATACATAAAAGATGAGACAATAGCATTTGCCAATTATTCTATAAAACTTCGAATTCAAGCGAAACTAGGCGAATAAACAGTACCTAACTAGCACTCCCATAAGAAAAAGAGCCATTATAAGAAAATGTAGACCAATAAACATGGCAATAAGGTAATAAAATAATGAAGCATAAGGATGGGGGTCATCAACTAACATCATGCTTTGAAGAGACAAATGTAGAAAAGATATGAGATAAAATGGAGCTAAGAGATGAAAGTCATAGTGAGGTCAATTGCTACCCTCAGAGAGGGAAGGGGAAGAAGAAAAAACTGAATCACGTCCCAGAGCGCACTATACTTCCTCATGAACCCTGAAGAACAACTGAGGCTGATCATTTGTTCACAGTTGCTGCAGGACATCTAGCTTAATTTACAGGGTACTTTTTTTAAGTATGCAACAAAACGGAATGGTTGGGGTCACTTGAGTCAAGATCTCCTAGGGTTAACATTCATAAAAAATTCTTAATATCTAAAGTATACAAGGATTTATGATAATTTTTCTATTTATTTTAAATAAAATTAAACTAAAACTTGTCACAATAGCTCAAGTGGTTAGAGTAGCGGCATATTGAGCCAAAGGTCGTGGGTTCAAATCCTACTCATGACACTAATTTTTTTGTCTCAACCAAGACCTTCCATAACAAGAATAATTAATTGAAAAAATATAATGTATGTTTTTTTTCCAGCTTTAGTCTGATGAGTTTTTTTTAAATAACATCCTTGATGAACCCTTGATTGTTTAACATTTTTATTCTTGAACCGGTTCAAAAAAGTATTTTTTTAAAGAGTTAGTAAAAAGTAAGTGATTTTGTTGTATTATAATTAATTATTTATATATCATGTTAATTGATGTTTTATAATAATATACATAGTTTGTTGAGAAGGGACAACAGAAGAGCCCAAAGCCGGTGCAAGAATAAAAATGTTAAATTATGTTCATCAAGGATGCTATTTTAATAAAACTCATCAGACTACAATAATAAATAAATATTGACGTGTGAAAACATCTGTAATTGGCACGTTCATTTTTTGGCTCTCCTCTGGGAGATTATTTATTATGGGTTAAACTGTCTCCTTACAAGGAAGCTTCACCCATGTTTTATTTCTAGAAGCCTAATTTTGACAATCTTCCCTTGAACTAAGATGGGTTTTTAAGTTGGATATGAGGTTTTACATGTAAATTCAGCTGTGTGGAATAGGGGTAGCTTTGGCATATGCTGCCTATGCAATTCTTGTTCTGTCATTTTTTGGCAGAGTGCTTGATTTTGGGTAAGATTCAGCTCTTACATCTTGGTTATTTTACTATCCCAAGAAGTGGGCTATTACGGCTCTTGAATGTCTCAAATTCTCGGTGTTCAAAATGCTAAACATGCTTGGAGCTATAGATACGAATTGATTCAAGAATTTAATTTTTAAGTGTTATTCTTTCATTGTTATTAAGCTATCAAAATATTGGATATAGTCCTCATTTTTAATATTTTTACGCTCATTTATTGTAAACTATGATAATGAAAAAATCCCTAAATAAATAGTCAATAAAAATAAATATCAAGAAGTCCACCGGTGATAATAATTTACAATAATTGGTGGCAAAAAATTATAGTTATTTCTCCTTTTTAATTAAAATTTTTATTTTATTTTATTTGATTATAATATTGGTGAAATTAATTAATATGTCATGTAAATAAAATCAATTAAAAAATCAAATTATAACTGAACTGTAATCATTTTTGTCCCCCATCTCTATTTTAACGATTTTATTGTCTCTTTCACATTTTTTTTCTTTGGTTTTGCTTCTATTGGCCTAGCTTCTGTCCCAATCTTACAATTTCACATTCAGCATGCTACATTCCATGGCCCATTGAGTTGACATTTTTCCCATGGTCCTATTTTTTAGACTACAATAAACGGCAAGAAACTGAGAAAAAATACACAACAATATACATTATATTATACATTATTAAACCTGATGAAAAACTAAGTTTAATTAATAAATCAAATAACTATTCTGAGGCGTTGATAATTCCGTTACGTCATTGAAGAATCGTCACAGTTACCCACTTGTTTTATAATTGATCAAATTGCCCACTTGCAGACGAAAAATTCCTTTAAAAAAAACTAGAACAATATTTTTCCAATTTGTCTCAAAAATTCGAAATTTGATCAAATTTTAGATATACTTACAACGAGCGACAAGGTCACCCTGGTTGGGGCGACCCCAGCTGGTCACCGTGTTGTAGTGTCGCACTCAACTTCTTAGCAAGTAGCAAGTAGCAACCTCTGCTGAGTCCTAGACAGTCCGGCTTGCTATCTTTTACCCAGGTCTCTTTTCAGGGCCGTCGAAGGACGTTCCTTTCCGCCTGGATTTGCGCTAATTGAGATGCTTTAAGCCCCCGAGAATAATATTACGTTCTTAAAGGACTTTGACTAGGGGGGAAAACGTGATTTGGCTCCAACAAATAGGTAAGCCCAATAACTTATTCCATAAACAACCTTGTAAAATTTAACTGTACATCTTTACTAGGAACCTTCATAAAAACAATTCCTGGATGTAAACAAAAACTAATTATCTACCAATATCCACTTGTGTGAAATAAGCAAAATTATCACTGGTTGGCGCGGTTTAACAAGATAATAATTTCCACTCATCAGTATTTTAATTTATCAAAGCAAAAAATACTCAAAAATATCCATATTTTATGGCATTAAGAAGTGCTTAAATTCCAATTACCCACTGGGTGTCACATACAAACCACTTGGTTCAAAACATTTTTCAATATATTTTTCATACTATTCTCAATTAAAAAGAACCATAGAGTTGAAATTCTATCCTAGGAATAGTATCATGGCAATATGAGTCGGATGCCCTAACCACTTGGCCACTGTGGTGCCCGTAATAAAAATGAAAAAATATATCTCAAGGATGCAACAGTATTGCCATCAAATAGCCAGGCAACTCTAAATGCCTTTTAACCTTAAAGATCAACTCATGTCTGGAACTGCTAAATGCTTTAAAAAATACTGTGATGTACAAATATCCAGACACTAAGGTGGTTCCAACCTAGATATAAAGGCAGCCTCAGAATGATACAGGCCAAAATCTATTTTGAGGCATTGCCTATAGCCGCGTTGGTACGGGTATGGTCAGTAGTAATAGTAAGCACTGCGTATGTGAAATAACAAACATCTCAAGGATGCAAAAATGAAAATTCTATCAGCCAGGCAGTTCTAAAAGCTCTGCACTCTTATAAGATCCACTCAAAACTGGTCTGGGATTAATTACCTAAATACTGTTTAAAAAAATTTAAATAAAATAAACTGGGATTTACAAATACCTAATGCTTAGGTCATGAGGAAAATTGAGGCAATGAGAAAGATATATTTGTATAGGGGGAATACATTGACTGAATGGTTATGGCATCTGACTCGTATTTGCCATGTTGGCGATTCTGGGTTCAAATCCCAGCATGGTCCATGGCTTTCTAATTGAAAATAATATGAAAAAAGTAATGTAAAGTGGTTTGACCCCTCGTCTTCGACAACCACCAGAACCCTAACCATCCCTAACCACTTTTTACTTTTCTTGCTATGAAGGGACCCTCAGACAACAGAAGCCCAAATTCATTTTGTGTCAAGCTATGAATAAATGAAAAAGGAATTTTATTTACAATAAGAAAATATAAATTATTTGATAAATGAGCCAATAAGTATTGGTTTTATTATGTTGTAAGATGAAGTACTAGCAATATTTATGTATGCATTTCATTCTGGCATCAGATTTTTTCTTGATGTCTAAAGTCATGACCTATGTCTTGATCTTTAGGGTATCTGACAAAACAAAAAGTTGAAACAAATGTACTACTGAATATTGCAAAAAAAAGTAAATGAAATGATTAGAAACTAATCTACAGATTCTCGCCTCTGTTTTACCAGAAAATGATTAGAAAAAAATTTATATTTTAATAAAAATTGAATTTTCCAGCACATAAAACAAATAAATAAATTCTTTACTTTCCAAAAGGTAGATTGGGGATGAGGCCAAAAAGGATGGCCTCATCCCCAATCTACCTTTTCGAAAGAATAAAAAATATATTTAAACTTAGAAGGCTGATCAATCACCGAAGTAAATAAATTCTTATTTAATTAGA